TATATATATATATATATCTTTCCGTGAAAGAATTATCTGGGCTTTAGAACAGACAAATAACTTAAATAATCAAAAAGTTTTTAAACTTTTGTAAGAAATCACCAATTTGGCTAAATTTGACCACCTAGATGAAAATTATCAAATTCACTGCCTTATTCTCAGTTTTTGTAAATTTTTATAAGCGCAAGTAATGCAGCATTGGAGTAAGTTTTTAAATATAAAAAATATTAGATCAAAAACGCTTTTCATTTTCACAAAACTGTGGCTTTTCCTCATATTCATGTTTTTCCGCCATATTCAAAATAAGTGTCGACAGCGCTGACTTTGGATAGACTGAACTTGACCCAACAGTCACGAGTAGCAGTTGCAAACGTACAGCAGTTATAAAAATAGGCATATTATGAGCAAAAAAGCACCATTTCATATTACGACGAAACATTTGGAGTTCCAATAAAATAAGGATGATCATTTAGGGTTCTTCAGACGAGAAAAAAAATCGGGAACTGCTGCTCTAGATTATCGCTAGAAAGGGCATTTTGAATTAGGCATGTTTCATATAGGGTAACGCTCTGGAATGAACAGAGGTTAATGATATTTCACATGACATTTTTTACCAATACATTTTTTATGCAAGTGTTTTGATGCATGCTATCCTTGAAGCCGAAACTGTTTCAGAAATTTCTTTTTTTTTCAGGGATTGATGTTTTAAGCTTTGATTTAATACTGTCCTTTAGATCTTGAGAGTATCATTTATAGATAACATGGGATTGGACATCGTTGTTTATGAAAATGTCAAAGTTCATTCATGTGCTACAAGAAAAAGAATCGAAATACCTGAAGGGGAACATTACAAGAGAAGAATGGGGAACGATTCTATGTGGCACTTCGTGACGAAAGACTCGATTGAAGATTCCCATCTACACACATTCACTCCTCTTCTGGAATATTATGATTGTGAATGCGAGGACAGCGAAAATTTGAGGAGGTTTCATATGGGATACAGCAGTTGCTTGGACATTGAACAATATCCATATTTCGGTCCTTATGAGTTCGACAAATCCGAAGGGTTTTATTTCGGCTCGTACATGACTTACGCCCGATTAATGTTATCGGATAAAGTGCCACTTCTTCGATTTACAAGTGACTGTGATGGTTGTTACGGTGGGGAACCATTTTTATTACGACTACGAAGTCAACTAGAGGCTGTTAGCGAAACTGATCAGAAGGCAGCGGAATATTTTGACATCTTAAATGGAAAGGATTTGTCAAGATGCGTAGTACAGCACTGTTAGCTGCAATGTTTGAGAATAAAATTTTTGTGTAGTTGTAGTTGTTTGCTTACGTCACTCTAGAGCTGGACAATTTTTTACTGACGACGGAACATCTTTGAGGATGATCCGCAGACATGCCATGACAATTTTAATCCCCTACGGAGGGGATGGCTCCCCAGCTTTGGTAGCCAAACTACCTGCGCTCGAAGTCAAGCCAACCACAGCTAGTGATGTTTGGCATTGATGTTCTACTAGGAACCATGTCTTACAATCTGTCCACTGTGGAAAAAAAAATTTTTTTTTTGCGAATTAGGCATTTTTATGAGTTGATTTTTTATTAAGAAAATTATTCACTTAATTTCTTACAGAGAATGAAAGGTCCCGAAATAGTGAATCAGAAAATGAATTCAATTAACAAAAGCAAAAAAGAGACAAAGAAGTAAATGAACTATTAAAACATTAAATTTTATTTAATGTATTTAATTTAGAAATTCAAACAAACAATAAATCTGTAAAAATTAAAATATATGTGTGTCTGTATAAAAATAAAATACATGTGTAAAAACCAAAAGTGGCAGTCAGTTTAGGTTTTTCCATTGACAACAGAAAGGTTCCTGTGTGTTTGTAGACAGTGTGTCTTCTGAAGAAGTGCTGCCTTACAGACACACATAAATTTTAATTTTTACAGATTTATTGTTTGTTTGAATTTCTAAAATAAAACATACATTACCTATTCATCGTGCGTTTTGAACGGAAATTTTTTTGTGATCAGGAATGTTATATCTTTTTCGGTGTATTACTGAATAATTAACAAATAAATATATCAGTACACTTCGTACTAATGATTTTCCTTTGGTTATTAATTTAAAAGTATAAGATCCTGATGTCTACCAATCAAGAGAGTTTTCGTGATCTTTATTCCGAATTCGGTGATTTTCAAGGATTTTTGAGCTATTAACTTCACCTTTGGAACTATTCGTTCGATTGGCTGATGTACAATCTTATTCAATTGAAAGTTAAAAATAAATAAATAAATAAATAAAAAATGCAACATCTGTTTAGATAACAGCCTCAAATGTTAAAAAGGAAAAAATGCAAATTTGTAATTTTTGTACATAAGGCCTTCGAAACTATTAGTCCAATCATCTCATGATTGGTTCAATTCAAAGTGAAAAAATTCATCAGAAACAATGCGTCCACCGCCCGTTATGAAGAAATTTAACTCCCTCCCCTAAATCCCCCCATTTCCCTCACAAACGGAGAATCATACGGAGAAGAGAATGTGACTTTTTAGACATTCTTTTGTCCTTTTTAGGTATCACATAACAAACCCTCTCGCCAAATGGCGATGGAGGTTGTTCCGTAATATGGCAATTTTCTCCATATTGGCAGTTCTTTTTTCTTTCATCAGTTCCCTTTAAAATTGAATCTACAGTAATAGAAATAAGAAATGAAAACATGTATTAAGAAATGTAGATATTAGGAAATAGCAGTTTGATTGCAAAAAAATTAGAAATTTTTGTTTCAATTTATAGTTTTGAAAAAAATCATCTTCAAAATTATTGCAAATTGTAAAGAAGCAAAATAAAGATTTTCTCTTGGTTTTTTTTCCCCTCCAGAATATTATAACAAAAATAAGATTATGCATGCATATAAATTTTTTTTCTGATGAAATGGAAAAAAAAGCAAATATTTTCGGTCTTAAAAAATATCTAAAAAATTCTTATAAAAATATTTTTTTTGAAAAAAAGTTTTTAGATTTTCTGCATGTCATTTACAGCTCAATTAAAATAATTTAATAGTTTTTGAAAATTGGATATTTCAATATAAAGACAATGTCATTTTTGCACAAATCTACAGTTCTGTTTTTAAATAAAAGAACTATAGGGTTAATTTTTTCGAATAAGTTAATTTTTATTTTATTTTATAACCAGTGTTGAACAGTTGTCTCACTTAAATCTACGGTAAGGAGATAATAACACATGATTTGTCTACCAGTGAGGATTTTTTACGTCAGCACTGTGGTCAATAGCAGAATTCGTTTCGTCCAGTTAGCTGTAGCTTGAATTTGAACCTGGCTCATCTTATTAAGAGGAGAGTGCTCTATTAAATTTGAGTAACAACGACTCCAAACTTTCCCTAGCACTTATTTGGAAAACAAGAAATGGTCTACAAGACAGCTGATAGGTCCCGTGGTCGCAGATATTATCCACGTGAATTGGATGCAAATCGTGACATACATTTCCGCTTTGTGGCGAAAATATTTACATTGGTCCGAGTTATTTGTGGTTACAGTTACAACATTCTCCCCTATATTTAATATATTGCTACTGTTTAAAGAATTATTAACTAAAAACTGTGTAACGTAATGATAAAAACATCACGAGCAACCAAACGATAAAAATATTTCATATCGAAGAATTATTGGTTTTTATAATAGCATCTTTCACTAATGTCGCTAATCTAGCAATAAAAAAAACTGTTTCATGCAAATTTCATTTTATATTATTACCGTCGTTGAACAGCCGACCCAATTTTTGGTTGTTTCATGCAAATTATACGTTTCTGTGTGATTATTGAAGTGAATATGTAATCTAACTTTTTCGTTATCGGTTTTTATATTAGCCTCTTTTTTCATTGTCGCTGATCGAGCAATAGAAAAATTGTTTCATGCAAATTATACGTTCATTGAAGTATGATCATTGAAGCGAATATGTAATATAACTTTTCGCCAAGTTTGTGATTTATAAGATTAAAAAAAAGGAAAAAAGCAATAAATTTTTTTTTCAGTAGTTCCTAAAACTGCTAACAAATGATCGGACTGTTATACCACTAACAAGTGAGAATTATTCTTGCAATATCAGTCACATTGATATTCGAACCAAATTTACTAATTACTGCTTTCTTGCTACGGTTTTCAGCAAACCCTCAAAATGTTACACTTTTAATCATGCAATAAATGGAAATGCAAGACAATATTGACTAGCGAAAATGACGGACATCAATGTCTTCTTTTTTTATTCAACTTTAAAATGCACCCTCATGATTTTTTTTCGATCTAATTTTTCTAAAAACGCCGAATTTTATTTTATAAAAAATACACGGAAACATATTTTAAGCAATATATATTCTTAATAATTAATCAATATTGAATATACTAGTATTTTAATTTGACTTCTGTCTTGTTAATAATGTGTTATTGAGTTAAATTTAAACTGAAGACTTTGCTTAGAGAATGGATTTATGAACACATTAAGACTTATATACCAATACAGGCACTAAATCCATATGTATTTTGTTAGAATATATTTAAAACTTAGTCTACCATTCTTCTTTATCAATTAAGAAACTTAGTCTACCATTCCTCTTCATCAATTTTAAGAACTTAGTCTACCATTCCTCTTTATCAATTAAGAAACCTAGTTTACCATTCTTCTTTATCAATTAAGTAATTTAGTCTACCATTCCTCTTTATCAATTAAGAATAGATATTTCACACGTATAGATTGAACTGTGCGCATTTTACTCAAACATAGTCTAGCACCATTTTTTTGATCCTTATTTTTTAACGACTGTTATAAAAACTGATGCAACGTGATCAATCGACGTGATCAGAGCCTGATCTAGTATTGTATCTTCCACACTACACCATTTCCCCACTAATATCAATAACAAAGGAATTTCATCCACATTAACATGCACCTTGCTGCGTATTCACACCGATTGTTTAATAGGCTGTCAAGATTGAACTCACGACCACTACAACTGGTATTACCTTTTTTTTTGTTGACCAATCACACCATCGAGAAGCTATTTTTTCTACAGGTAGTTGACGGTAGTACATAGTAGATAATATCTTGAGAGCTAATAGGTATTCTTCAGTATTTAGCAATTTGTGAACTATTAAGAACCAGACAAGATTATCTGTTGAGTCCATTCTAAATTTTCAAAACCTGCAAGCGAATAAAAATAAATGTAGTGCATTTTGAAAAAGAGAGATGAAATCAATAGGGAAAATGTTTACATTTTAACATTTGTATTCTCATTAAAATATATTTTATTTAAAGATTTTAGATTAATTGCTCTCAACAACTTATTATGATAGGACTCTCCGAAAATTATTTTTCATTCAAATGAACTAGATTCCTAACTGGCAAATTTTTTGGAGTGTACGAATATCCTTTTAGAAGAGTTTTCATGTATCTAGCAGTTTATATAATATTGTCGTAATTAATACTTTTGATTTGTTTTAATGAATTATTTTCTTTTCTAGGATTTATATATTGCATCTGAATGTTGGAATGCATATCATGAGACAACAGAAGAGCTTTCTTACTTCACTTTGAGACCAAAAAATTGCTGGAAAGGAGCAAACCGAACTTCAAACATGAAATTTCTAAATTTCATTTGTTATCATTGTTTCAATCGAATTCATCAGTCTTATGTGTGACTTGTAAATTCTACAGAAAATAGGCGTGAAATGACAATAAAGAACTAATAGCATCTTACTAATAGATAAGATAACGCTATCATCAGCAATTCTTTTTCTTCTTCAAGAAATTTCATATTTCTCTGAAGCATGGTGGAGAGAGAAATTTACCACAGGTCTTTCACTTTCGGGACTTGGAACGTACGAGGTTTAACAGAAAAAAAGCAAGAGACTTTTGCTGAAATTGAAAGAGAAAACAAAGATGTGGTTGTACTCACAGAAACTAAACTCAGAGGATCTGGAAAAGAGGAATATCCAAACTATATCCATGTTTACAGTGGTGTTAGAGTTGGTGCTGCCAGAGCCGGCGTCTCTGTTCTCGTCAAGAAAGAATTTTCCTCTGGTATGAGATGGAAAGTAGTTAACGAACGAATAATCAGAGTTAGGCTTAAAGTAGGGGTGCATAAAATCGTGGTTCTCGGTGTTTATTGGGTTGATGATTGTGCTAAGACTGAAGTTAAAGACAGATTTCAAACTGCATTGTGCAAGGTTTTGAAAAACATAAAAATTACAGACGAGATTGTCATTCTAGGGGACTTCAATGCCTGGGTTGGTACATCCATCAGCAGCAGAGCAATTGGAAGATTCGGAGAGGAAAAAATGAACAACAATGGCAGGAGACTTATTGATGTTTGTGAAATCTTTCATTTGAAGATTTTAAACACCTTTTTTGATCACGAAGACATGCATAAATACACTTGGTACGATAAAAGGAGCAATTCAAAGTCAATAATTGATTATTGCATAGTCAGACAAGACACTATTTTGAAATTCGTGGATGTTATTGCTTGTAGATGGCTGGAATGTGGCACAGATCACATTTACTTAGAGGCGGTGGCAATATTTTCTTCGATTCCGCCTCCAAAGTCATCTTTGCGTATGTATAATTCCTATTTGTTATTTAGTGAGACAATTGAAGCCAAATATAAAGAACACCTTGATAGACACATAATTTTAAATAAGTATAAGTCAACAGCGGATTTGTATCAGCACTTTAAGGAAGTGATACATTCTGCCGCTACTGATGTCTTGGGAATTGATCCACTGGGTGATAGGTCCGAGTTTTTGTGGGATGAAGAACTTAGAAAATTAAGGTGCAAAAGAAAGGAATATAATATAGGCATAAATTATATTTACCACCCTAAATCAGAAGTAAAAATAGAAGTTTGGAAAGGAATTTGCAAAGCTATTGAAAAAATTCCAAAACAGTTTCAAAGGAACAAAGTGATCTGCAATATCCTAAAAGAGTTTCAGAACCAGTCTGTTACAACTCTAACAGCAGATAAAGAATTTCTTGAAATTTACTTTAAAAATTATTTTAAAGAGTGCCGCCCAGAATTCATTGGTGATTTAGAAAGATGCATTGGACAATCTGGTTTTTCCATATTTCCTGCAGATATCATACAAGCTTTAAATGAATTCGAAGATTTTGACGTGCCATCACCTGGTGGTATCAGTATGCGTCTGCTAAAGCATGGCAGCAATAACTTAAAAAAGCTTTTGAAGGATTTAATTCAAGCAATCTTTGATGGCCATACAATACCAGAGGAAATAAATGAAATGTTTTTCATTTATCATTCCGGCGACGAGAAACTGTTGAATCTTATAAATTGTTCAAAATGTGTTTCTCACACTGTTATGCAGGTCATGAGTGCAATTATAAAAAACTTCATCGAAAAAAGTAATGCATTTAAAGAAAAATGCAAACTAATTCATGAAGAATCATGCTTGGATGCAACTTTTGTTCTAAGAATGTTGCTTCAGAAGTGTGCTGACAAGCAAAATAAGCCCTTGCATTTAGTTTTCATCAATTTAGAGGAAGCTTTTCTTGATGTACCACGCATAAAAATGTTTAATGAACTTCAAAAGCTAGGGATTGAGGACTCTTTAGTGAAGATAGTTAAGCATTTATACAAAGACAATACTGTTCGCATGATCTTTTCAAACGAAATTTCTAAACTTAGTTACCCAGTATCTAAAGGGCTTAAGAAAAACTGTGCCTTATCCCCAACATTATTTAATGTTTACATTCGAAGGGCAGTAAAAGATTGGTTAAAAGAAAACGATAAAAAGGGTTTCCCCGTAGACACCACAAAAATGTTTTCGTTTCTTTCGGAACAAACGAATTTAGTTGTTCTTTCCGATAGTCTGAAGCACTTAGGTTCCGCGATAGAGAGCCTACTGAAACATTTAGGAAAACTAAATTTGCAAATCAGTTTCAAAAATATCAAATATTTAGGGATAACTGAAGATGATGAACGTGAACTGATGATCGGCAAGAGAGGCATAGTCAGTGAAGACTGTTTTGAATTCCTTGGATCGGTATTAGAAGTTGGTGGCAGAAACGATATCGATATTAACAATCGAATTATAAGTACGAAGAATGCAATTGGCGTATTGCACTCCGTTGCTCGTGACAAACGAATTGACAAGGATTGCAAGAAAAGGATATACCATGCTATCATTAATAACAGCTTGACCTTTAGTTGTGAGACGTGGACAATGACTGAGAAGTTTATGTCACGTCTTCTTCGAGTTGAAATGTCTTATTGGAGGTGGTGTTGCGAAAATTATCCCCAGCATTTCAAAAATGATATCGTACTTGAAATAATGGAGGTTGATGAAGTTGTTGATGAGGCAGTGAAGCTGAAGAGGTCAGCTTGGTTTGCAAAAGTCAAAATGACCAATGATAATAGATGGTCAAAATGTGTTCTGGAATGGAACATTGATGGTAAATCCAAACCTGGAAGACGGAAGCGTTGGATTGAAGGAATTGAGGATTTCATAAATGAATTGAGCTTGCGACAAGGGTTTGTTATTAAAAATAAGCATTTAGAAAATATAGTTGCTCTAAATCGTGAATCACATGAAGATTCTTAATATTAAAACATAAACTAAAAATTACTCATGCTTTAATGTGAGTTTATGCTACGTCATATTTTTGTTGTTGCTGTTATTCGTAATTATTTTATATTATGTTTTTATCATATCATTTATTTATTATAATGTTGTTCTTACATCACTGATTTGTAATTATATGATGTTATGTTCTTATGCTTGTAATGCATTACTAATTTGTTATTTTATGAATTCATAATTTTTACATGTAATATCATTGATTAATGGGCGTAAATTTTAATCTGTTTCCTAAGTTACAAATTTATTTTCTCACCTTGATCATTTGTTTTGTCAATTAGGTGGGTCAATTGTAGAATTTAATTTTCTAATGTATTCTCATTTCGATTTGATTATTAATTTACAACTTTTTGATTTCATAGATGAAAATTATTTAAATATTAAAAATTTATTAAATAAATATAAATGGTGTTGATACCTAATTGACACTCCTGCTACAAAGAATATTTTAGATATTTTATAAGAATATGATCTTTAATCTGAAACAAAATGGTCTTTAATATAGTGACACCATTTCTAAAGAAGCATTATAAGAATTATTACAATGATAATTTTCTAGTCTTAATTGAACTCTAACTAGTTCCGATTAAAACTAGTCCGATTTAAAAAAAATTGTCACAGATGCCTGTCCAGCTCACTAAAGGTAATTGTTTTGTTACCTCTAGTCTATCGGATCTTTTTATACTGGATCTGTTTATTTGTTTGTTAAAGATAATCTGTTATCAACAGATTATCCAGTTTTATTTTAACATCTAAGGCTCTCTCTTCACGTAACTATATACAGGAAAATGCTGTTTGCATATACGCGCTTTTTATTTAGACTATGGCGTCACCTGTTGATACATTGATGAGTTAGAAGAAAAAAAAAAGGGAATTAAAAAGTTTCAGAAAACCACCAATTTCGAATAAAATATGTTGTGGTCGTTCATGCTAAAAATAGCATTGCTTAAGAGAACATCGAAAGTAAAGGTATTTCGTGATACATATTTGTTTTTCCCCTCCAATTAAAGATTGTTTTGTTTAGATATGAAGTGAAAAATCGCTCGCAAACGAAGGCGTATATGCGGCGTTATGTTCTCAGCATTTATATCAGAAGGTTTCTTTTCGACGACTTTCTAAGACTTAGCAATTCACTTTTTGCCTTTTTCTCACATTCCTAGTGTGATAGAAATAATAACTGCTCAGTTTCAGAATTTGTGGCTCGTTAGGTAGCACATACATCAACTTAAATATATCTAGTCAATTTTACGACCACTGAGCTGTTAGCAAATAAAAAAAAAGGATTTAGAGAGTTAAAAGCTGCACCTTGTGCTATGTAAAATGAGTAGAAAATATTCTAGCAGAAAACTTTCTGTGAGGCTGTTCCTTCGATTATTACTAAGACATAGGTATACTTGTATAACTTAACGAGCTTCATTGTGATACATTACTATGAGAGTGATATAAGCAGCAAAACATTTATAAACACTGGCCTCATTACTATTCTTCTCAGCAATATATCTATGGAGAATAATCTAAAAAAACTAGAATATAACTGATGTATACTCATATTTATTGAAATCACTATATGCTTTTCGGTATAGACTGTAATAGTTTTCAAAATGTGCTGAGAGGGTAAGAGGTATTACAAATTTTTTTTAAAGCTTAGAATATTAAAATATCAATAGAAGGGAAACATAATTTGCCATGAAGAGTGATTTCAAGAAACCCTTGAGTAAGGCATGAAGTTTTAAATGATGAAACAAAGTTCAAAATATCAAAATGCAACCAAATTATTGTAGGATTACTACCACACTACGTAATCCTAAGTAATTCTAGTATACTTTGTTCGCATTTTGATGTGAAGAATTTTCAGCATTCGAAACTTCATGGTTACTGCTTCTGTGTTACTACTTTTTTTGTGCTTTCAAATTTAAATTATTTATGTAGATAAAGGAGAATTTGCTATTAACCTTTTTAGTCACACCAAGACATATATGTCCCACAGACGAAAACACCACTGGGACATATGTTTCCCATCTAAAAAACCTGGTTTGTCACATATGTCTCAGCTCCCATCCGCCAATGGCTAAATTGTTGATTTTTTATTTCATTTTGGCGGGATATTGTTTTTTTTGTGTGCCTTAATTGATCCTTTTGCCTTATTGATCGTATTTTGTTTTTGATTTTCTTGGAAAAAAAAATCTGGTCTTGAAAGGGTTAAGGATTGTTTCTGCAATATAGCATCCTCTTAAAATTACTACATTGAGGTGTTTAATAATAGAGCTAGTAATATTGCATAGTTGAAGATTAATAGTTTTATGTGCCATATATTACTTATACAAGTTATATAAATAACATATACGTTTAAATCTATATAACTTATGCAATTCATCAAGCATGTTGAAATGGCCTAACCTTTCACTTCGCTCGTTCCTTGTAATTTTAGAGACCTAAAATGTAACATAAAAATACCTCTAAAAGCATTACAATTCTATATTTGGTAAAACATAATTCGGAAGGAAAAGTTTTATCCATATTTTAGTACCTAAAATTAATAAATTATGTTGATGTAAGGAAAACTTATCTTTCGTTGAATTAAACATTTAATTCCTATCTCTAAAATAAGGCAAATAATGTCCCAAAATAAATAATTTATGAAATAATAATTTCAGTACAGAAATGTAAATTTTATTTGATAATGAATGAAACAGAACATTTTTCACAGTAATATATATTTAAAATATAAACTATACATTTAAATTAATAGTTTAATGATCCATTTATGTTTTAAGAAAATTATATTACGCAAATTCTAAACAAACATGCCTTTAAATTCCAGTTTTTAGCTTCAAAGAAAAAAGCTTTTTTTTGTTTATTTTTAGAAGGGAATAGTACGTTTATATTATTTAGAGTAAAAGTAAAGTTTTATGTAATTAAATTGTTTTTATTTAATTACTAATTCAGAGTTTTTGTATATTTTCTGAAACCTGCTGACAATGGGATACATTAACACATGTTTTTACCTAATTTATTTTACAGGATTTATAATTATTCTTAATTTATTAAATTCGGATTTCTGATCTTATTTATCTTTTCATAGTATGTACGAAATGAAATTTTAATTTTTGTTGAGTTATTTTTCATTTTGAGAATTATTATTAGTTGTTTGTTATTATAAAAAAAGATAGTTAGTGTTTCTTGGTATTTTAGTATCGTTAGCATTTCCTTGTTAGTATAAAATTAATTTCAATGCAAATTCCTAATTTTTTCTCATAAATGCTGCATAGATTGTTTTATGCAAGTGATAGAGCTTATAAGTTAGGGAATAAAAAAGAAAGATTTGGTGTTTGGTGCACGCAATGAAATGCTTCTTGCCAACTTTTGCATAGTCTTTTTTGCACAGTGTGTGATCCTACGATGCAATATTTATTGTATGACTTCCTATTTTAATTATACGTAGTAATAAATTAGTTGGTTTAAAGTATTTTTGAGTTTTTTTAAACATTTCCTTACTTGTATAAAATTAACTTCATAGCATAATTTTCAATTTTTTTAATAAGTGCTGCATAAATTGTTTTATGTAAGTGATAAAGCTTATACGTTAGGAAAGAAAATGATATGATATTTAGTCTATGCAACAGAATGCTTCTTGCCAACTATTGCATAATTACTTTTGTATTGTATGTGATGCATTAATGCAAAATTCGGTGTATGATTTTCAATTTAAAATATATTATTAAATTAGTTGTTTGTAAATGCAATAAAAATATAATTTAATGTATGATGGTGTTGTTTAACATTTTTTTGCTTGCAAAATTAACTTCATTGTAAAATCCTCAATTTCTTTTTGCTACATGCTGTTTAAATAATTCTTATACATATGAAAAAGTTTATAAGATTGAGGTTAAATATTATTTGAGTACATAAGAAAAAAAATATTGCCTGAGTACATATTTCATAATTTAGATTTGTAATAGGAAAGAGTTTAATATATGGTTTAAGCATCATAGCATAAACCTTGATATACTGATTATAGTGTATGGATAAAAATAGATATTAAATTATGGTAAATATAGCAACAAACATAATTTCATCAATACACATAACTATCAAAAACTCAAGAATGATTTGAAAATTAAAAAAAATAAATAAATAAATCTCTTATATGCTTAATAAAAAATAAAATATTTGGGTGTAGCCTATGAGAATATAGTTGATAAAATTTCAGTCAATTTTTCAGAAAATATCTCAATTTTACATCAATGGTTTATTTAAATGAGAAATCAATGGCTTATTTGAAGTTTATCTTAAAATATGTTGAAAAAAAGCCTTATAATTTTTTTTAAAGAAAGCAGATGAGAAGTCGGTGTTTTATTTGATGTCCTTAGTGTTAATCGGAAAAACACCGACTTCACATCTGCTTCCTGAACGGTTTTCAGAAAGAAGCAAAAAGATGAGAAGTCGATGGTTTATTTAATGTCATTTGTGCTAATCGGAAAAACACCGACTTTTCATTTGCTTCGTAAACTTTTTTCAGAAAGAAGCAAACAGATGAAAAGTCAATGGTTTATTTGATGTCATTTGTGTTAATCAGAAAACACCAACTTTTTATCTGCTGCCTAAACTTTTATCAGAAAGAAGCAAGCAGATAAAAAGTCAATGGTTTAATTGATGTCATTTGTGTGTTAATCGGAAAACACCAACTTTTTATCTGCTTCCTAAACTTTTTTTCAGAAAGAAGCAGATGGGAAGTTGGTGGTTTATTTGATGTCATTAGTTTTCATAAGAAAAATGCCGACTTTTCACATCTTCCTAAACGTTTTTTCACAAAGCCCTGCACTATATACACTTCTTATACTGGGTTCACTTTGAATTTTCAGTAACTTCGTATTCCCAGCTGTTCAGAATTTTGAAAATTCAAAGCATGAACCTAAAAATTTCTACTTTGCAATTCGGGTACTTAGTCTATAGGCCTGTCAGCCTTTACATTGACAACCCACTACATTTTGTTTTGATAGTGTTTTAGTTCTTATTTATTTGATATAGAATCTAAATTGTATTCTCGCTCTTCCTTATTTTTTATTCATTTATGTCTGCAACATCATAGGTTCAATTAACTTAACAGCTCTTATAAAATTAAAGACTAGAAACTACATAAAGTCACCGAAAGAAGGAATAGAAGAAATATTCAGAATTAAAACGGGAACAAAATCCAATATCTTCCTGCATCTAAGTGTTTTTTGGAGAAAAAATCATTTGGCTACGGAATACAGCTACTGTTGTTTCTACTGATACTTGGACCTCTTGCGATTTAAGTCAGGAACGTGCTCCTGTCGTTTGACAAGAGAGCACTGCAAGAGTGAAAGTATGTCTTAGAGCAGAGCCCTACGGATTAGATACCTGCACCACTCACTCGTAAGGGCGCTTTTTCATTACACGACACGATACCGACAAAATCGGACGACAAATGTGTGAACGACAATGTCGTTGCCGGATCGTTTAAGCAATTGTTTTTTCACTTGTCCGATATCGTTAGTCCGAGAAGTAGAAATTCTTGTTCATTCAATGTTTTGAGCTTGAGTGTGTAGAGACATAAAATTTAAATAATTTATTTGAACGTGTTTTGAAAAATTATAAGTTTTAGTTTTGAATTCGTTTTGGCAACGGAGTTAGATATATAATAAATGTTGTTGTGTTCTAAAATGTTTAAGAAATAAAATATGTTATTTTTTTGATAAAATTATTGGTAGTATCGTAAATTGGCGTTCATTTAATTTAGTTGGCACAAAGACCCAACAAGTGAGCAGTTGCTTGTGTTCTGCTGTGATTTTTTTCTGCAAACTTTAAATATGCCGGATGATAATCGTCGTCTCAAACTTCTTACTTTATTTTAGAAGAAAAAAGCTAGCAGTGCAGAAACGTTTTTGGGTGCACGAAATGGTACTTACGTATTAACGCCACAGCAGCTACAGATTTGGCGGTTTTTAAGTGCCGCCAATCTACACTTAAAATTATGTCTGTAATCACTTAACATTACTTAAATTCTTTAAATGTTTTAAAGTATTAACGTTTTTTTTAAAAATCGAATTAAAATATTAGTTTCATTTAGAATAATCTTTTTAGATGATTTTTTAAATGAGTTTGATCAAATTTATCTTATGAAGCCGCTCTACCATGTTTCAAAAAAATGTTTCAGTTGAATCAGGGAGCAGACTTTTTATTATTCAATCAAGCAGAAACCAGTAGTTAGATCGAGTTCTGTTTGAAATACATAAGGGTCTTTATTTGCCTTCTTATCAAACCATTACTATTATACAAAATACCATCTCTTCATTAAAGCATATAATGAATTTATAAAAATTTTCAATGAAACTTTTATGATTGTTTAAGTCTTTCAACCTCACTATAATGTAAAAAATGCAACTTCATAAAATTAAAAATTTATAACCAGACATGAGAATAAATTATATAAAACTTTTATTTTCAAATTTTACATTTGACATGATCTAATAAAAGATTAAAATTGATTAAAAGAATAAAATAATGATATCAAAAGAGGAGATAAAACGGGAAGGATACACAACAACTAATAAAATCGCCACGATTTGAGTAGAAATTTGCTTGCCTAACCGACATTCGATTCCGACAAACGATATCGCCTTGTCGGATACGACATAATCGTTATCGTATCGGTGAGTGAAAAAGCGCTCCGTTGCTGATCATGTATTTTACTTGACCCTCTGTCGTTCGCCGAGACAATCGGATCCGTTTTGTCGTTATCGTGTCGTGTAATGAAAAAGCGCCCTAAGGCCACTTCCTCAATTTAGACATAGATCTGAATAGGGTGGAAATTTTCTCCACATCCCGGAACTGCATTGCAATTCGAAAAAACAACGTAAATGTTTCACTATTGATTCCGAAAAAAGTGGCTTGACAATAATTTTTCTTCTATCGCTAACGCTAAAATAAAATTTAAAAAAAAACCGATAAAACAAAATTCATTAAAAAAAATCTTACAATACGTAGCTTATCATACGAAGATGCCAAATATACATAAATCTCAATTTTGAATTTGTCCTGCAGTGGACTGATCGTTAAGACACGGTTCCCAGCAGATCACCGAAGTCAAGCATCACTGGCTACGGTCAGTGTGCGGGTGGGTGACCACTTGGATCAGTCTGCGTAGGGACCGAGGGTGTGCAGTATTGGTCCTCGTTAAACTGTTCTACTGTAAAATGCTCGACTTCGCGTGCAGATCGTCGGGCTACCGAAGCGGGGGTGCCATCCCCCCTGTAGGGGATCAAACTTGCAATTGCATGTCATCGGATCATCCGTACGACATGCAATCGGACGTAAATGAACTACTACAATTTTGAATTTTTTGTCGCTTGCGTTGATTTATCGATTGTGTACTCATGCTCGGTACTTTTGATTCTACAGATTTTACGACACGTATATCGATTGTACTCGGTGGACCTAGATGAAGTCATCAAAAACCCGCATCGGAGCTAGATTCTAAAACCACTGGGCTACCACGGCCCGGAATCCACCTTTAACTATTTGATTAAAAAGTAATTAATAAGCCTTCATTAAGCTGAAAGAACGCAAATTTAGCTGTTGATAAGTAGAAAAATGCCGAAAACATACAAGAAAAATACGAGAATGGATTCTGGTAGTTCGCAAGTTCGTGTCATGAACTCACTGAAAAATCTCGATTCTTATAAGTATTTATTGAAATAAGGTAACTTTACGTGGAATTTCTTTTGCAAACCTGCTCTTTTAAGAAACTTTCTTTCAGACAAACTTGGGACAAGAGCCTGAAAAACCTTAGGACTTATACTTTCGACACATGTCTAGGAAGAAAAATTCTAATTTTTATTTATTTATATTTATTCATTTGTACAAAATGCATTTGAAGGCTTGTGAGCTAAATTAAGACTAATAAACCTTTGTCAAGTAGGACAGATAGCACAATACAGAGAAGGACAGTACAGAGATACATCCAGGGTAACAGCAGGATTCGAACCCGCAACCTCAACGCTTTGCAAACGATTGGATGATAAAACAGCTCGGATGGGAAGGCCACTTTTTTATTTACTTATGTATTGGTATAACATAGATTTGTAGGCTTGTCTGCTCACTCAAGACTTATAAACCTTTATCAAGTATATTTTATTTTGTTTTACCGTCGTTGAACAGCAGACCCAATTTTTGGGTTTACGACCACTAATGGAAGAATTTACCCCGACCCGCCCTTATTTAGGGCATACGGGTAAAACGACCACTAATGTTCAACTCCGTAGCCTTGTAATTTTGAACCCTATCCAGAAGATAAGGAAACTCCTGGATCAAGTAGTGGGAGAAATTTGCCTTCGCGGAGAACTTGATGGAACTAACCCGCATTGGCGTTACCTGGAGAGGAAGACTACGAGAACCTCCCACGGTTAGACTAACGGCAAGGGGACTCTATCCCATGATCCGTCTACCACTTATGATATTTCACGTCAGCACTGTGGTCGGTGCAAGCTGGATGCGAAATTCGTATCGCTCAGCCATCGCCAGGATCGAACCCGGTTCACCTCATTGGAAGGCGAATGCTCTATCCCCTGAGCCATCGCGGCTCTTTATCAAGTATATGTTCAAATAGCACAATACAGAGAACGACAGCACGGAAATACATCACGCTCAGCGTTTGGTGATACCGATCGGCCACGGAGTCCCCTTTAAAACTTATATGCGAAATTGTATCTATTTCAGTTTATTGGTACAGCTTACATTGTTACAGCGTATACGTTCAACTAAGCCATGTAAGCCTTTGTTAAATAGAATGACAAATGGTACAATTCAAAGAAGGGACTCACTAAGATATATCCAGATTGACGGAAGGGTTCGAACTGGCAACAAAGTGGTTGGTGAGCAATACCGCTCGCCCAGGGTGATCCTTCTATTTCAGTTAAATCTTTGTATTCATTTGTAATCACTAATGTTCTTCAATGGCTTTGACATGTATCTGAGATATTCTTTGACGCATACCGAGACCTCAGGTTTTATATCCCAGATATTATAATTTAACGCCTTCATGCTTCTCGCTTGTAGATTTAATACACTGTTTGATTGTGAGTGTCTTGGTGCTTCAGTGACTAGAGCCTGTGACCCTCTTTGTCACAGTATGCAGCATCAGTCTCTCGACCAGTGTTTTAAATCGAGGATGAGCAAAAGTTATGCTTCGACGAAAATGATCGTAGGTTCGTGATCCCAAAAACTCAAAACCCGCAATCTTTACTGGAGAAAATGCATATGTAGACCTACCTCAGCTTCTTGAACAGCTTCTTAACCTCAGCTTTTTTAAACATGTGTTGCGTAAAATGTGTTTTGATTAACTCTTTAAAAACTTTATGAGAAAGGTTTGTAGCTTCAAGTAGCATAGATCTTGTTAATTCTACCTATCTTCAATGTCTACCTATGATCTTCTGCTATAGAGGTTAAAAGCGTGCAACATAGATCCTCTTACCACAACCACTTCAATCTACTTATCTATAAAAATGGAAATTTTCATGCTGCAGTTAGTCTTCAGTTGGAGCATTCATAGCAGGTGAGTAGCTTTGCTTTTATTTGTTAATCATAAAAATAATAGATTTGGCCATGTAAGTTCTGCTTTAAGTAATTATAAAAAATTTAAATGTGTAGTAATTTAAAAAAAAAAATATTTTACTTAAAATATTTGAAGCAAATTTAATTATCTTCAAGGAAAAAAATTATTAAAAAAATATTCATTTCAACACAGATTATTTCTTTTAGGTGTAAAGCGATGGACTTCCTTATAGTGACTGTATTATTAGGTAAAAAAAATACATTTTTTCAGAATAATTTTTTTCCCTAGCCTCTCTTAATTTTCCTTAATTTGCTTTTCCTTGACATGTAAAGAAACTTATGTACAAATTTTTTGTACGCAAACTTTAAGTGTTAGCTTCTGTATTAAAACTCCTTTACAAGAATTCTTAATCCGAAACATTAAAAGTAGTTATGGTATTTGTATTTACATTTTCGAAAATAAATAATGCATACTATATAACAATCTATTGAATAACTATTGTAATAAGCTAAATCTTCTGTTACTCAACTCCAGTTTTTACTTTTCATTTTAACTTTTTTTAAATTCTTTACTACTCTTCTCTAAACTTACTGTGTATTGAAATGTGTTTAACATAATTGTTCACTTTCTCGTTAGGCTTGTTGGCCAATGGAAAAGCGCAGAAACCAGTTACTTCTGATGAGCTTAATATTGAAGTTCCAGAGGTAAAAATGTTTATTTCTAACATTAAAACTATACTTTTCAAAGCTAATATATTTAACAAGTGAACATTTTCCTGTTTTAGATAAATTCAATATACTAGGACATTAAATTTAAACGCTAGACTTTTTTTTCTTCAAAATTGGCTGCAAAAGTCAGTTTAGAAACTAAAGAAACCTTTTTGCTATTGATCAAATTAAAAACTGACTTTTCAGTTTCATCAGTATAGATTTTTATCACTCAATGCAAAACCTTACGGATATTTGTTTTTGAAATATTTGTCAGCGTCTTAGAAAACTTATTAAAATAGGTAAAATTGTTTTTTTTGCAATTTTACACTTTTGCGTTGTACATATACTGGATATTTATCTAGTTTTTGAATTTGTCTTTTACTGAATATTAAATTTTAAAATCACAACTGATTTCATCCTTTTTATAAGTCTTGAATAACTCTTTGTGGCGAGAAATGCAAACACTTAATTAAACATTTTAAACTGGGTCTTAATATTTTTGATAAATATTTGAGCTAATAATAAATGCATTCCAAGTAACGAAATTATACTCTGTAAAATATTGTCCAATTTGAAAATTTTAACATTTTAATTTACATTTACTGAATATTATTTAAAATTTTAACTTCTGGATCATTTTCAATTTACCTTGTTTAGTGATATTTTCTAAGATAATGTAAACAAATTAGTTTCATATTAGAATATCATTTAAGCAGAAATAATCCAATCTATAAAGTAAAACACCAGTTTTCCATTCTTTACTTCAAAGTTAAGATTCTGAACCGTGTTATACGTTCAAATTTGCTTTTTCATTTTAAAAATTTGTTTAAACTTAGATTGAATCGGACAATCTATTTCTATCAGTATCGTTTTTAAATGAATATTTTAGGCTAATATCTGATTTATTTTCCCCTCCAGATAACTGAGGATTTCTTTGAAGAAATCCTACAGTATTTTCCTGGCTCATCTGGAATGTACGAACACTTCGCAAGTACTCCAGAGCCTAAATTTGCAAAAAGCACCCACGAGCCTGAAGGTATTGAAATCACTCTTGAGCCTGAAGTGGTCAGAAGCACAACCGTACCATCTTACAACGAGTTTTGCAAAGATATTTCCCATGGATTGCATGATATCGATGGCAAGTACCCGAAACTGAAGGCTCTGAAGTCCAAGCTGTACACCTATTTCTTCAGTTCCATGGCCGAATACGAAAGGAATCCTCACAAGAGAAAGAACATCGCGTTAGACATTCTCTCCGAGCTTATTAAACTGCTCCAGATGTTGCAGAAAAAGATCGGAGACTGTCCAGTGAGACACGTTCCAGTAGTTTCAGTCCCTCCTGTTGAAGAGATCATCGCTGAAGAAGTTGTGTATCCTCCATTTGTTGGATCAGTCAGAGGTATTCCTGGAGTTAACTATCCAAATTATACTGAAGTGCCTATTACTTCGTTCTCGTGTAGCGACAAAAAATACATCCCTGGATTTTATGCAGACTTGGAAACTGGGTGCCAGGTAAGCAATTTAACAAATTTTAACCTATGGTATTTTTGAGTTTGCATTAAACTCTGTTTAACTAATTGGAATTTATGCTATATAAAACTTTTAAACGGATATTTATTAATAAGCAGTTTCAAAAAGTATGAAATTCATGCCTCTAATTTCAGTACTATACGCACAGAGGTCAAATTCAATTCCTCAACTGGCAAAGTAAAAGAAATATTTAAAATTGATGAAATAAGTATTCAGTCAGTGTGAAACTTAACTTTAAATATAATACTATGGTGTTAATTTTGATAAATTTCTACTTTTATAAGACTTCATCTCTGTTTACTTGTTCTGTAGTGTAACTCGAATATAAAGCTGAATATCCGGGCTTTAAGCTATAGAATAGAATTCGTTGCGTTTCGAAAAGAATTTTCCGCCATTTATTGCTTAATATTACTCTCAAATCTTCCTTGAGGAAAATTTCTTTTATTTAAAATTGAAAAATATAATTGAAAGAGATGTTTGCGTTAAATATAAATGAAGTCTTAAAGTAGGCCAAACATTTGAGGAAGTATTTTAAGTTTATTTTTGTCCCCTTTTAGTTGTGTGCACTTCGTGCAATGCAGCAGAAAAGTATTAAAATTCTTGATATTGGTAAATTGAATTGTTAATGCTAGTTATTCGAGTGAACTTGTTTAAAATTGATCAGACAAATTTGATCTCGTTACTCTTTAAGCCACTGCATAAAATTTGTTTACACAGAAGTATAAAAATGTGCACCTGTATTGTCAGCATTTTACTTAGTTTTTACAGAGAAATTTCGGAATTAATTTAAGAAGCAGTGATCAGATCTCTAGTAAACTTGTATTTTTAAGGCACGAAATCTGTAGAGGAGTAGTTTAAAAATAAGCTAACTTTGAGCAGATATTTTAAAAATTTGCAATTGTGAAATATAACTTATTTATGAATTTTTCATGCGAAACAAAGTGGCAAATGTCCATTGTATCTCAAACTGTTTTCTTATCAAGCTCTTGTTTCCACAAATTAATATTTTCATATGTGGCTCAAATTTCTGACGGCTCTAAAATAGCTAATCAAATTTCCGGTAAGCTGTTTTCGTTGAAGTAAAGTGCATGTGCAGTGAAATCATAAAAGCTCTCTGAATAAACATGCTTTTTTTCCTGATGTATTAAGATTTATCACCCTAAATATAAGGGATAGTCACATTCGGGAATTTATTACCCCATTGTTTGGTGAGGAGCGCGATTCAAATTTTGGACCCCTTAAGTGCTTTTTGCTCATTTCCAGAGATCGTGAACTCTTCAAACGAATTTAAAAGCTTTTCAGGCTATTATAAAATTCATTTATGAAAAATTAATCCCTGCGAATTAACTCCCAGTAAAAATAATTTTTTTATGTAAAGTATATTTTTGACTTGTTAAGTAAAATATTAGAAACAAATATTTAAGTTATATTTTGCATGGAATTATCTTCGGATAAATGAAGTTATCCGAAGATAATTCCATGTCCACAGTTCAAAAATTTTTCGATTCACTTAAAGTTCTATATGGTGAGAACGTAATTTAACTCTAAGGGGTTCAAACTTTGAACAGATCTCTTGACCGAGCATTGAGGATCATATTTCCTACTTTGCGACGACCTTATGTTTTGGTGGTCAAAAATATGAGTCGGTCAGAAAGTTTGTCCAGAGAAAGTACGTTTTTTGTAATCATAACTTTAACTATAGTCTGCACTAGTTAACATATTAAAGGCGCCCCCTCAAAACATCAAGATTGAATCCTAGACTTATGATCATTGCTTCGAAAGTTAGTGTAGCGCTTTTTATTTTGCGCACTGTACATCTAAACATGCGGGACTCTTCTAGACTGTCAATTAACGTTTAGCTTTTGAAAAATTGTTTGCGACCGGATTTTCTTAATTTCTGACTTCTATTTTAGGTTTTCCATGTTTGTTATGAGCATCGACGAGAAAGTTTCCTTTGTCCTATCGGTACTCTATTTAATCAGCCCATATTGGCCTGCGACTACTGGTACAGTTCTAATTGCTCACTTTCTGAACACTATTACGATGTCAATGAAGAGAAAGATGAGGTTCACATATCCGAACCAGAAAAGGATCACGTAGAGGAGCTTATTACGACTATTATTGAGCAAGAAAAAACTACCATTCCTCGTATTGTGGTAAAAAGCAAAGATAGTGTAAAAATAGATGCAGATCTCGATCAAATCTTAAAGTTCTTGCCCGTTAAAGCTAAAGTTGTGGAGTTTCCAGAGAAACCGGCTCCCAAACTTCTACCAGTTCTTGAACCAAAGTTCGTCAAAGCTGCAGTTGCTATTCCAGCAATGAAAGTTGCAGCTAAAGTTGCTCCTATTCTTAAAGCTAAAATTGAAGATGCCGTAAAGATGAAGGTGGAAAAGGCCATAAAGACTAAAGTTGCTGCTAAAGTTGTTCCAGTTGCCAAAATGAAGGCAGTTGGCGCTGTCAAAGCAAAGCTTGCCACCGCTGCTGCAGCAGCTCCAGTTGTCAAGGCTAAGGTATTAGCAGCTGCAGTCCCAGTTGTAAAAACTAAAATTGCTGCTGCTGTACCACTTGTGAAATCTAAAGTAATTTCTGCAGCAGCTGGACCGCTATTGAAAGCAAAAGTTACTGCAAAAGCGTTGCCCGTTGTAAAAATGGCCGCTATTGACGCGAAGTTGTTAGCTGCTGCAAAAGCTAAAAAGGCAGCAATGATTTCTCCTTTAACTAAAAAAGCTCTGGCTCTAGGCTATTTGAAGTTGCTTAAAGCAAAGAAATTTGCCATGATGGGTTGATTTTTGTATTTGTAAGTTTTGTTTTACATTAAACTTATCAGTCAACAAATTTGTCTCTTGTTCATTAACTGAAGTTTCTTTTACTGCTAACGTTTTAGTAGTTGTGTGAAATGGAAGATTAAAATTTTGTTCTACTTAACAAAAACTGACTGAAGTGCTTAGGAACTAAAATTTTTTAGGTACTTTAATATTTTTAATTATTCTATTTAAACTGGATTATTAAATTTATTTAAATTGAATACTTATGTACATATTTTAACTTAATATTTTACATTGTCAATTAGCAACGTACAAGAGAATATAGAATTAAAATGTTCTTAAAATACATGCAAGTAACTAAATGTGCTTCAAATTCGTACTAATTCTAGAATTATGGTAAAAATAAAATTGAAAGGCTCAATACAAGTCAAGCTAGACTCTCCACCAATTTGTGAAGCTAAAGATAGATGAAGTTAAGAAGTTGATAACAGTTTTCCTCACATTAGATATGTTTCTTACGAGAATTTCCTCTTGCATTGTTATTGCGCGCTTAAAAGCAGATAGGTAATTAAAATTTCAGTAAGGAGAAAAAAGTTTGCACCGATCCATAGAATGGAACAGTTTTATTTTAAAAAAAATAGTTCACGCCTGGACCATTGGGAGAGATGTGAGCGTATGTAACAAATTCGAGGTAAAACTGTTTAATCATAGTATGTTCAATTAAAATTGAGCATTTGCAAGCAAACACTCTCCTTTCAACACGCAAGAACTTTTTGGTTTATTGAAAAAACAAGACTAGACTCTCTTTCTTTCAAAATTCCTGGAAGCAAACTTCCAACTCACTCTTTTTGAATTTAGCTTTTACTCGTAGCTCTGCTCTGACTCTTTCAGACTTGATGAATTCTTTATGGCTGTCATTGCTGGATTTTTAAATCTCTTCAAATTGTAGTACTTCTCGGACTGACAGTATGAACAAGATTTCAAGTTCTAAGTTAGCTTTTATTCTTGCTCTAACTATTTAACCTATTTCTGACGTCTTTTAAAAGTTCTATACTTTCAATAATTTAATTTCTATAGAATTAAGTTAAATTTCTAGGAGAGGAAGAACAATCTAAAAATAATAATCAAAACTGTAAAGTTTGGATTTTCGGATCCAGTTAAGTGGGTGCTAATATTTAAATGCTTGATACCCAAATTGTTCAAATTCAATAGCTGTTAACAATTTCTCCAAGTGATCATATGATCAAAAATTTATCTTAAATATTAATAGAAAAACAAAATTCGTGAACGAAAACAAATTCAGAGTTTTATGAAGTAATTAGTTAACGAGCTTTCTTCGCTGATTATAAAATTATAAGTTTGATGAATCAAAACACAATATCTTGCTAGCAAGGAAATAAAGTGTAGCATCTACGTTGCCCTACTCTACGATAATTTAACTCCATGCAGGTTTTCAACTTTTCTTCAAAACTAAATTTTACTATTCACTTATTCAAAAATTGATACTTCATAAATTAATACTTTTCTGAAAAACTAGATTGAAAAAATAACTTTTTAGAGCAAGACAAAAATATTTATATTCGAGACAAATACAAAATTTATTTATTGAGTATTTAACAAAAATAGAATTTAAAATTTGATTCAAACACATACCAAAGCATGTTAGATTTCTTAAATGTTCATCTTTCTAAATATTGTTGAGTCTTATCTTTGGTAAACTTTGCTTGTATTTAAAACAATATGCTTGTGAAAATTACGTGAAAAGTTGTCTAAATTTTTCTTTTACGAGTATAATGTAAGAACATACATATTTTTTTTAACTAAATTGAAACTAAAATTATTTTTTAACTTTTTTTTTCTTTCTAAATTTGGGTAGGAAACAAATTTGCTCAACCTAAATATTACCGAAATAAAAATTAGCCAAAAAATACTCTTACAAGCGCTTAACCCCTTAGTTTTCGTTAACTTCTTTATGCCATAAATGAAATTATTCCAGAAGAATACTGATACTTTTTTCCTAAAATATTTAATTCCAAAAAAGCTAGAAGCCAAATTAGAATCTTAACTTTAATTGAAAAATGTGTTTCTTAAAACAACTTGTAACCACTACACGATTCTTGTAAAAGCTTTCAAACCTAACAAAAATGACTGGGTGATGCATATTCTTCAAATATTTACAAGGTCCGATTAAATATTGTTTAAAGAACAAAACCCTTTTGCATATCAGCTGCTCTTAAAATTTCTTTCATTAAACCATCTTAATTCCATATTTATTCTCTTTGTTTTTCAGCTTATGAGATAATTAGTCGTCCTAAAATGCTATTTGCTTCTGCAATAGTTCGTCAAATATAACAAATAACTGTGACAAAATGTTATCCAGCATATTTTCCAGCAATTTTAGCACAATTCCTAAACTTAAAGCAAGTCAGTATTACAAAACAAAAAACGTTTTAAGGCATTTCTTACTGATAAAAGATTGAAATCACATTCTAAAATTTTTAAAGAATGCATATTGTAATAACCTAAGAAACTAGCGTATCCAGGTTTTTTATTTCTTATTGAAATGATTAATTTGTAAGTGTCTGTCTTTCAAATATTCGAAAGGATTGCAACATTGAAACAACTATGCATAAATATAAAGTTTCGGAATTTTTTTTAATGTTGGATTTAATTGGATATATATATATTGATGGAAATATTAAATTTTCAAGTGGTGTATTAACTTACCCAATATATAAATGTTAGATTTCAATTAAAAAATATCTCGGTTAAAAATTTTGGAGCTTTTTCAAATATAATATCGTTTAAACTCATTATAACCTTAATTTGGTTTTAGGTTGAGTCATAATATTATTTAAACTCGATACAACTTTAATATGGAGTTAAGTTGAGCCATAATATTGTTCAAACTAGTTACAACTATAATATAAAGCTTGATTAAACCATATTATTGCTTCAACTTGGTACTATTTTAACATGTTGCGAGGTTGAATCTTATTAATGAACGTACTAAAATTTACGTGTTTCAGTTCAGCCATGTTATGAATGCCATATTATAAATGCAATTTAATTTAATCACGGTTTGAGGTATCAGTATTGCAATTTAGCATTGACTCAATTTATTTGACAGTGTAATGACGGCCTTGGAAATTTATACCGATTTCTGAAAACTATTAGTTTTTTTTCATTGCCAAATAAAATTTATTGTTAATCAAACTCCCAATCATTTTCTAATTTATTAAACATAAATATTGATGATTGGCTGTTGATGCCTGATGCTACAACCACGAAAAAAAATTTCTTATATCTACAGGCACTCGAGAAAGCGATCTTGGAAGAGATTCGAGCGTCCTCAAAGTAGCCAGATCAATAGCCAAGGCTGGCAGATTTGAATTGAATTCTGAGGAAGGACCACACTGGGCTGTCGCACCATTGAGGAAGGAGAAAAGTATTTGGTATTGATAGGGTTTAAAATTCCATCTAAGCTCTGTGTTTGAGAAATATTGAAGAGTCAATCATTTCCTGGCCCCTACAAGCAGAATTTATGACAAATTAAAATTATGATCAGTTTCCGGTGTAAGCAAGCTAACATTCACTAAAACTAAAATGAAGAAAACAATAAAATATGTATTTCAAAAACCCCGTCTCTCAAGTTGACTACATAGGAGAAAAAAATTACTTTTATCAGAGCTAAATGTGACTTATTATTTAAATTGAAGCAGCATTGCTGTTCATATCGGTCAAAATATCTCGAGGCAAGCTACTAAATTTTCCTTTCTTTTTTGACTTTTGCAAAATGCGACGCTATTCATCAACATGGTCTCCTCTAAGAATAATGCATTCATTGTAAAGTTTATCCTGCATTTCGATGCCATTCTTAAAGAAGAAATTATCAAGACTTATAAAAACTGATTCCATTTCTGATATGACTTCATTATTTGCGTCAAACCTCTTCCCCAGGAATAAACTTTTGTGAGTATATACTTTCTCTTATCTTTTCTGGAGTATTTTTCTCCCAGGAGTGTGATGAAAGATCCCTTTCTTCCTTGTAATATAGAGCCATTTCTTCTTGGTTTCATCCTTCAATTGATTTATATATCAAGGACTATTATATTTGCCCTTAAGGACTTCTTTTTTAAAGTATTCCATGAATGTAGTTTCTTGGATATACAAAAAGAAGTGTAACTAAACTTCCCGAGGCGAGTATTGAGTTTTTGATTTTGTTCTCCACTTAGTTTAATACCTATTTGATTCGTAGAGGTAGACCTATGCTTCGTTCACTACTGTATAATGAAAGTCCAGTTTATATTACTTAAACAGTTCGGAATAGAGCTCTGAATTATTAACACGGAGTTTTTTTGTACCGTGATGTAACTTACCTACCACTACAAATATTAAATACCCATTCCCTAGTATATTAGACACGGTACCTTCTGATAGATGAAGGTTTACCCAGTTGATAATTATATCTTCTTATTGATGACCTCCGGACGTGGTGTGAACTCGGCAACATAGAGGGATGGTTCGCATGGAACAATTGAATTGCTCTCAAAAATCCGGTAAAATAAATGAAATTCTCCTAACCAATAACAAAAGAAGTGAAATAAATAAACAAAGATATAAGAAAAAAAAAGAAAATAGTTACAGAAAAGTAATATAATGAGTGAAAAATAAATAAGTTAACAGCATTAATCAACTAGTAGAATTCGTTCATCTAATTTCTATAACATGTAAAATTCTGGAAATGAGTAATGTGGCGTAACTGCAAATATTAAATATCAATTTAGATGAAGATTTACATAGTCGATAATTATAGCCTTTTAATACCACTGTAAACAAACTCTGCACCTATCGGGAAAATAGTTTTATTCGTAATCGAATTTAAGAGCACAATATTGTATATACTACTTTGTGACATCTTTAGGGGGTTATATATCAAAACAACTTCTTTTTACAGTTATTCAATAGAATTTTTTTCTTGTGCAATTCCCACATTAATAGTTTCTGAGCTTTTAACATTATCAGTGATTAAATAGCTCCATTTAAACTCCACAAACTACCGAAACTGGGACTTTTAGACGAAACAGATTCCTTATTTCAATTTTCAAACGATTTCTGAAATCAATCTAAAATTTTTGTCTAAAAAAGTGCTTAAACGATAGTTCGAAATTTTGTTTTATCGTCGCTCTTCCCTTCCTTTATATTTTAAATTGAAACTTTTAACATACATTGGATTAAAATTGAGTCCTCCGTCCAATATTGGACAACATTTAGTTCAGTTTTATCACTTAAATTTTTTTTAAAAGGTCTTTATCCTCGCCATTTTTGGTTAAATTTAATGAAAATGATTCTTCGTTAAATCATTCTTCAATAACAATGAAAATCATTTTTCGTTTATTATCTGTTACAAGATATGGTAAAGTTATATTTAATGGTGCCCCTGGGCAGGATTTTATTTTCGCTCCAATTGTGTTTAAATAAAATGCCAAATACAAGTAGTTGCCAAATAAAATGGCGCCAATGACAAAGTATAATTAAAATATAAAAAAATTATACCCCAAATAAAATGCATTTTATATCAAAGTAGAGCAAAGAAATAACTTTAAAAAGTAAATATATATTTCCTGGTATTCACAGTAAAAAAGGAAATATTTACTTACCTTATTTAGAGGTTTCTTATCTTACCTTATCTATGCGTGTTGCCATAAACAAAACAGCATCACACATCCTGATAACCAACATGGCTATAATCAAAGGAGTGATTCAAAATATCGTATAACCCAACATTTATGTATAAATGTTTAAAAAATTAAAATTCATAATAAAAACTATCAAATATTCATGAATGACTTATCAAAATCTTTTTAATTTTTACATTATCTTTAATGAACAAAAAAAACAGAAATGAGTGCAATAAAAGTGATAGAACGTAGGTAGAAAAATTAAAATAAAAATATCCCGAAGTGACGTGATAAAGTGAGCCAAGCTGGTTTTTCTTTTATTTTAACGGGAGCGCCTAAGATTTTTTCAAAATATAAATTTAAAAAATTTTCATGTTCTGATTAAATTTGTGATAATTACAACTATTCTTATTAATTAGGACGTCTAAGCTGAGGTCACTTCACTTACTTGTTCACTGGCTATCCATCGATGATAGCAAAACCAATTCGCGATCGCAACGAACTGTAGGGGGCGTTGTTGTAGGAGGCGTATATCTGCGATTTCTATATGAACAGTCATTCAGTTACTCTAGAGACGTCTTTAATGTAGCGTGTAGCATTCCAACGTTCCTTCTTTATTGTTGCTAATTAAATTTAAAAAAGAAAAATGTTTGATATTCTTATATATACCTAGATTATCCTTTTACTTTTAGATAACATGCCACAAATCAAAATTTTATAATTGTAAGATCTCGATGTGAATTTGAATATGTAGCTTAAAAACAGAACATCTGAATTCCAGTTGAAATTATTCTTTCAAAACTAAAAAATACTTTCCAAGAAAACGATAAAAATTTATTAATCATCAACACAAATGACACTATTTCAAGTAATTTGGATGATTTTTTTATTGTTGTTTTCCGAATTATATAGATACAGAAATATATACTGTTCTATAACGAAGAAGAATATTCTATAACTATTGCAGTTCTGTACGTTCTGAATTCACATTTATTTATTGGAATGGCGAAAGCAATGTTGACTTCACTTTAATTTGTAATGAATTGAAGACAGAAAAAATTATTTTACCGTAATACACACATCTGTATCAGCAAGTGATCATGAAATTGTAAGTTATGTTGTTGGTAATAGAAAGGTAAAAATTATTTAGAAATTGTTCTTCGAATGCTTGGCGTGTTCTGCTTCAATGTTTGGCATGTTCTGGTTAGTTTTTTCAAGAAGTTCTACCTTTTCCTTAGGGAAATTTTGCTTCGTATTTGCTGCTAAGAAAATGACGTCCGTCATTGCCAATGGATATGTGGGAACTAATGTCTGATATTTTCAGTCTCCCACTAGAGGGCGTACTCGAGCGTTGCGATCGCGAATAGGAATACTTTTAAAATTACTAGATTTTATTTATTTGTTATTTGGATATATGTAAGTTGCAAGCTAGGTTTTATTTATTTGTTATTTGAAAATATGTAAGTTGTAAGCTAGATTTTGTATCATCGGTTGCTATGGAGATATTCTAGAACAATTTTTTTTTTTTGTAAAATAAAAGTGTTATGTTTCTTGTTTTTTGTAAAACTTAGTCAGAATAACTGTTTTTTTAGTTAAGAATTACTTTTCCTGTAGAGAACGACAGAATATTGCACTTTCTGGTAGAGTCTCTTAATAAATACGTTTCGATTGGGATGAGAATACGTATTGTCCAATAGAAATAGTGCAAACAACTAGTCGCTGTTTACAACCACAAAATTACGAAAATTGTTTGATTTATTTCAATCAAGGATGCAGTTCTGTCTCTAGTGAGGACATCTCTATTGAAACTGTATTTGATTATTTCCATCTCTCTTAACAAAATTGAGAACAATATTATTACGAACTATTCTATGATGATGGAATATCGTAATATAAACAATTTTTAATTAGTTATTTGCGTCAAAACTGCACATTTTGTGTATTTTAGCAATTGCATTAAACCTAATATTTCATTTGTTAACTAAGAGGTGGAATTTACTTATTTCTCCCGGTAATTCAATTATAAAAGGTGTACTTATTGAAATTTAGATTTTTTTAATACATTAGAGCTTTAAGCTGATAAGCAACATAAACGAAGGATGGTAAAAAATTTATCTAATCAATAATTCATTGAATTCTAAAAAATTTAGGAACCGCTCAATTTCTAAGCTACATTAATAGAAAAAATGCTTTTACCCACAATAAATAGTTAACAAAGTTAAAAATGAACTTTTTCTCTACTCTGGTTTTATGGACAGGGCTTTTTAACTTTGGCAGCGGACTTAGGATCTATTTTAATTTGCACATTACTGAAGGAACTTTTCCTAAAATAATTCAAATCGTCGTTGCATGTAAGGAGATATCAGCAAATAAACTAAATCAGAATGAAACGATTGATGATATTTCATTACCCGATGATTTAGAACGAAGAAAGAAGCCGATCACTTTGAAATACGGAAAATTTCTTATATCTGATATAAAAGTTAACTCGACAGAACGATACAAGTGTAACTTAGTCACTCCGCTACCCCGCATTTATTATAATCAGGTGAAAACTAGAGTGAAAAGAGAACTAAAAGGTAATTTATTTATATTTCCAAATAAACTCGAAGAGAATTTTACATAATAGGGGGCACCACTAGGATTTGGCTGCGAGTAGGCATGGATGACACTTTAGCTTGGAGACATTGCAATGCCAGCAGTAAATCTACTGACAATGTCATCCAAGACCGGAATTATAGTTATTTCTAATTATATATAAAGAAGACTCACTACAAACTACTGTAGTTATTTATTTTTTAATTTACTTCTCCATTTTAAAGTAGATGGGGAAAAAATAACTGAATTATCGACGCCACTGATGCTTACTCACTATAAGTACCATTTACTTATTGCCAGAATACTTGTAGTAACTATCACCAAATGCATAACTAGTTATGCACATATATGGCAACGTTACTTTTAAAAAGTAACGAGTAAAAGTACAAGTATTTTTTAAAAAAAGTAACGAGTAAAAAGTAAAAAGTTCTTATTTTAAAAAGTAACGAGTAAAAAGTACAAGTACTAAACAAAGAAAGTAACGATTTAAAAGTACATTTCTAGGAAATCAAAAATTCAAAGTAACTTAAAATTTTATTGAATAATATTCTTATGTTCTTTAATGTTTTTGCAAAACTGTTGTTATTTATTTAATTATTTTTAATTTTGAAAGTTATGGATATTAATTTATTTTTAAATTCGGAAGAATATTATAATATAATCGCATAATATAATTTTAAAATCAAATATAATTTTAATATCAAACTTTTTATGGATTTGCACGAAAAAGAAATTTTATCTATTGATTTTAATTTTTGGTTTATAATTTTTATTTATTTAAATACCATTGATGTAAAATTGTTTTACTCTTTAGAAACGCGTTTTAAAAGCACAAACATAAACAAAGCAAACACGGGTTTTCAGATAGCTTTGGGATCTTTGAGCTAGTAAAAAATAATTGAATGTGCAGTATAAGTTGAAACAGAAGGTATTTAAACACGAAGTTAGCTGGGAATGCATATATATTGCACATTAATTTTATAAATTAAAAAAATGTAAGCATTTTTTTCAAATTAAATTTTTTTTTCTTTTAGAAAGCTTACCGAGTTTTAGAAAAAAGTAACGATTTCATTCGATATTTCTGTTACAAATAACGAAAAAAGTAACCTTAAAAAAGTAACGAAAGTACAAGTAAAAGTACTAAATTTAAAAAGTAACGAAGTACAAGTAAAAGTACGTACTTTTTACTTGTACCGGCGGTACAAGTAACGAAAGTAAAAGTACTTCCATATATGGTTATGCATAATAGTTTAGTGTTTTCTTAAGGCATACCCTGGGCTGTCACATTACTGATGCTGATGATGATAAGTATTTAAACTACTTGTGCCTGGCGTACTACTTCTGGGACGTTTTCTTTAAAAATTTTGCAAAATAGCAACATTTGTTATTATTCTTCGAAGCTATACAATTCATGTTCTAATTATTTATTCTTAATTATTCATGTAATAATTATTTATTCTTTATGGTCGAAAAATTATTTGAAAACAAAAAGAATATACTTAATTAAACATAAAACTTAATTTAATGGATATTATTTTATCGATGCTTAATTTGGTTAATTGAGTGACCACTTTGCAGCTAAACAAAAATCGTGTGTCTTTAATCGAAACAATTTTTAAATGAAACATAATTGTACAAATGGTACGTTTATTAATGACTTTGATGTTTGAAAAAGCATCGTAAGTCTCCAGATTTTGAAGTGATCACTTTGTCTTTCCTTCTATATGTTTTTGTGTATCTTCTTTCTCATATAATTTTTTATTACCTTATATTTAGCATCAATTCCTGCAGAATTTGGAGCGTGCCGACCTGGATATAGTCTCGCTTCGTATGACAGATGTTGTAAGTATTTTGTAAAAATTTTTTAGAAATTTTTTAGAAATTATAGAACATTTAGAGTATTTTTGCGGATAATTTTTATTGGAGACATTCACATAATCTGATTTGTCGAGTCTGATTAGCTTCTAAATCGACAAATACCATGATTTACAGCCTCTGGACTTATCTACGATGACTTAACTTGAAGGCATCTAATTTGACTTTCTTAGCTAATTTATTTGAGTTATTGACTTCTCCAATCTCATTTATTTGGGTAATTATTATTATTGGTATACTCTATGGCAGCGATTCACATTTTTTCTCGACTACGGGAAGCCTCCTTTCGATGGAACCCCGGATTGACTTTATTGCGGAGAAAAAAAATGCAAGTGATTATCATGCAACATAGTTTAGCATAAATCAGCAGATCTAGAAATTAGCCATTTCATAATTTAGAAACACATTTTTTCACAGAATTTTTGACTTCGCAGCAAACTATTTCTGTCATACATAATATCGCTCTTAGGCTACAATAGTGGCACAATTAAAAAAGCACACGTTTTGGACTAAGAACAGGTGTAAATATGAAAATACACATTCTTTTCAGCAGCAATACTAACACAACTCATAATTCAACTTGAAGGTAATCTTCGTTTCAGCAAACTAGAGCTTCTTATGCATTTTCCTTAGCAATGAAAACTTTAGACCCTCTTATCTCAAAACATGATTTTTTGAGTTTTAACGCAAATGCAGCCCATGAGCGATATAATAAATCTTTTTGCAATCGTGTGTGATTTACTAGCTTGAATAATCCTATTAACTAACAGGAATGTTGTTCCTGTCATATGTATCCATTAGAGGGCTTTTCATATCTGCGTCTTGCATATCGAAAACAAGTTCTGAGTCTCGGAACCCCTGTGTTCTTTTCATGGGGTAACTCCAGGGTTCTGTGGAACGCCATTTGGAAACTGCTGCTCTATGACATCAATTGCTATTATAAGTTAAACACCAAAGACATAAACCTTTTCCTATTTTTCAACGTTTCTATGAAAAATATAGTGAAGTATTCATGTAATATTTAAATCAATACTTTTGCAAGCCAAAGTTTGCTGTAAACCAAATTGTTTGGGTCAATAATTCCTTTAGCAAAGTGAATACACTAGTGCCAAAGAAGAACATAGAAAACAATTCACTATTTTTGATTTAATTATTACTTATTTTAGTTCCCTGTCACCCTGGAACTTATGGCAGTGGAGTATCATCTAAATGTTTGCCTTGTCCAAAAAATTACTATGGTCCTTTGCCTGCACAAGATTCCTGTTATGCTTGCCCAAAGGGATCAATAACATTTTCCGAAGGATCTGATAACGAACAGGATTGCATCTGTAAGTTACTTTTTGTTTCGTTATTTAAGTATGGTTTTTCATAATTCTTTTTCTCTGATTTTATGATACAATGAAATTGATAAAATGTCTCAAAGATGACGTCACACTCATTAAAGAGTAATTTTAACTGTGTTACTTCCTTATGCTGACCATCTATCACTGATTTTTATCTTATATGAATGTTACGTAACGATTCTCAGTGATAAGTTGCGTCAAGATGACGCCACATACCCAAATTATCAAAAACACCTTTACTGTATGTTACGTCATTCTAACCCTACTAAACTTTTCTAAAAAAGGCCGAAATCAATGGACATGCTTATTACTGATTTGAAATGCAGATGAACTAGGGTAATCTGTTAACCTTTTTAGGACGGGTGAATCAGTAATGTATTTGTACAAAATCGGAATGGAAAAAATTAAAAGGTCGTGGTTCAAATGTGGGAGTGGCTAATTTGATAGACTTACTTTATTTATATTTTAATATATGTTAGTCTAATCTCAAAATAATTCGATATTAGTTTAGAGTGTAACTATATAATTTTCATTTTGAACTAAGTAGTGATGATTTGAATAAATCAAACTATTATTACTCCACCCACAGATAAACTGGTAAAGAAATAAAAACGAGCTCCCAGTTTTATCTTTTTACCCTGTTTAGGAACGTTTAATGCTGACACGTAAGCTCGAAAGGTTTAAAGGGCGGAATCAAGTGTTTTCTGCAATTTGCTTATACTTTGCTTAGTGAGAACTGATAGTGAAAGTAAACTAAAAGGTTTGCTGTTTGTTGCCAACATTACCTACATCTCCCTGTATCTCCCTAAAATAACGGTTCTTTTCTTATTTATCATTGTTCAGATTACTGCTGCTTAGCATAAATTTGGCATCAATCAGCCAAAGGTAATGCCAAGTGTCCAGAGGCTTTGTTTACTTTCATTGATTAGAGTACAGATGTGCATATTGGCGGTTCAATTATAATTAAAGCTCAAAAGTTTCCCTTGTTATATCAACTAATTTGTTGGTTGCTTGCTTTTGTTTATTGACCTGATTCTTTTAGATATTGAAAAATATATAAATAACTCTAAATTGATTTCCTTAATTTTAATAATATTTTAAACCATTTGATTTTCTGTATTATAATTTTGAAAGCTGTTGATCCTATCACTTAATATTTTGATTGTTTCATTGTAGTAACATGAATTTTTAGATAGCGAAAAATAAATAAATGTTATTATGTTAATTTATGCGCAGTGAAACATTGCCTTTGTTCCAGTAAAAATCGTTTTTCTTAAACCAGTACCTGATAGGTACTGTGCAGATTATCTAGGTCGAGTGCAAGTTATCAAGATAATTTGAGAAAAGAAACATTTTTTTGTCACTGTAGAATAATTGAGTCCTACACTTTATTCTTAACACAATCATCAACTAGAAGTTATATTAAAGTTAACTATTGCATAAGAACTTAAAACATCAACTTAGAACTCGCCAGTGATTAGTAAAAGTTAATATTTAAAGGTATCGGAGGCTTAGAATGTCCCAAATCAATATTCTTAACTTTTGTTTAGTTTTATTGTTTTCTTTATCTTTCTTTTTTAAAGTCTCTGTAATCGAGGTCTCTTGTTCCAAAACAAGATCGATCTATTTTCTAAAAATTCACAAAAAGAATAAGAAAGAAAAATCTCATCAGTGCACTTGAATTAATTTAAATGTTTTTACTGATTCTGAAAGAACTAAAGCTTATGATTCTTGTTTGTTAAAAACATTTAAGTTTTCCTACAACTAAAAAAGTAAATGCAAAAGTAGTAGTTGGTAGCTCTTGCTTAATTGTTTATATATTCAATTCGCTTATTTATTTATCGTTGGTTTTGCATATTGTACTTGCCTTATACAGTGTCTGTATTTCCTTCCAAACAAATTTGAAAACAAATAAATAGGTATAATAAAATAAAAAAATAATAAAATAACACAATTAATAAGTTATTCAGATATTCTTTTTTCTTAATTGAACACTGTAGAAATCCAGTTTTATTTTATGGAATCATGGGAAAAGGTTCTAAAATTGTATATAATTTTTGACGTAAAATTATTAATATTTTTATTATCATTGGCAGATGTTGACGTTGATGGAAAGCCTCTGCCTCGAATATCTACCAAAGTTATTGTCATCATATCTTGCGTGTCTATATTTGTGTTACTTGTGATGTAAGTTGGAGTTTTTCCCCCTTAATTTTAAATGTCTATCTTGGTGTGCTGCTTCGTAGAAAGCATTTTTATATGTAAAAAAAAAGGATTCAGATGTTGTAGTTAGCTTTAAACAAATGTGGCGTCATTATTAAGAATCTTTCATTGAGTTTTTTAAAATAGAAAACGATTATTATGGAAAAAATTGCTTGTAGAATGGAAATTTTGAGACATTTTTACCCAGTGGTAAAATAGGTCTTGTTTTGGGTTTTATGGCGTGCGCATTTTATTAGGACGTCATCACACTTTTCATATGTGTTCAGGAGTAACAGTAAACAGTGAGCATGCATAGTCATTGCATGCGTTGCTTTGGTTACCGCTGCTGTTTGATAAATTTAATAATAATAATTTAAAGTATTTTATATTTTTTTGTTGTTAGCTTATAATTACTGTCTTGGTGGTGATTTTAATATAAATATGAATACTAAAAAAGGAAAAGTATTTTGTGACGTTTTGAAACACGTTTATAGCCTGGTTTTGAAAACTAATCCGACTATAAATATCAATTGAAACAGTTTTTTCAACCTATGATTTTAAATGTTGTGGCGTTTATCGGAGTCAAACCAGAAAAAAAAGCATTTGACCAATTGGTAACCAAGTGACCGTTGAAAAGCGATCCCAATTTCTTTTTAATTATTTTTCTTTTGTTATTTTTGACCCAAACAAAGCAGCTGTGTGTAAAAATTCCATGAATAATGAAAAATTTCACTATATGAAAATATTTTCAGCGTTAAGTGATCAAAGATTTAAAAAATATACATAATTCTTATAAATCATTTAAAAAATATTGTTTTGATTTAGTTTAGGATTTTTTTATTAATTTTTAATATTTTGCATTTTTGTTTTCGTCCCCAATCAAGATTCTACACTTTAGTAATAAATTTCTATCGCCACCAAAAATTTTCCCCCACGTTCTTTGATAGTGTCGCTTTATACTTAATGTGACGAAACAAAAGTATTTCTCTTTTTTAGTCAACTTAAAAAACATATTTTTTAAAATTTCTATTTTATTTTTATTATTTTGATTATTTCTAGAATAATCTTTAATATTCTTTCATCCTCATGTTCGATAAGTTTATTTACAAATAATTCATTAAAGTTTAAATTATTACAATTCGTGTGAAAATAAACTCAGATTTTTCATCAGGGGCAAATTTTTTCTAATAAACCGTTTATTAACTTATGCGTTTTTCACTAATTTTCTCGATATCTTCGCTGGCTAACATTTTAACAGCTGAATTACATTGAATGTTTTAATTTCATCTCTGGGTATTGGATATCTGCAAGTGACGTAGTGTGTGTATCGGATGCTTTGCGCATGCTCATGGATGAAAGTGCAAACGGAATTTTCCTTAGTTTGTGACATTATAAAATTACTTACTAGTAGGGAAAATACCCTTCTAGGGAATTATATACTATCACAAGTAAAGGAATGTATGGTATTACAAACTGATATGGAGAAAATTCCGTTTATACTTTCATCCGTGAGCATGCGCAAAGCATCCGAGATGTCATGTGTCGGTGTATAAATGATCTTCTTGTTCTTGAATTGCAAGTACCCAACTAAACGTTAGTTAGAGAGATTTGGTCAAATGATTTTAATCATCTAAAATGTTTTTATGTTACTTTTTAGTATTGGATTTATCGTTTGGTTCTTTGTATTGCGAAAAAGAACGAAGCCAAAAAAGCCTAAACTACGTAAAGCCAGGCCAGAGATTATCAGAGTAAGATTTTAACTAAAATATAATGTCTCCTTTGAAAATCTTCTCGAATTATGATTGCTTATTTTCAATAAATTGATTATACTAATACCTCGTAATTTTATTTTATTTTAATTTTTAATCAATGTAGATAAATTGGAAATTGGACTGAATCTTTTTTTCCATCAAAATTCCAAAAATGCAATTGGAACATTATTTATATTAATGACGCGTTTCCTCAATTTTGGATCTACTTCGCCATTTTATGTACAAAAATAATGTTTTAAGTTCTCAATTAAATTCATTTAACTGTACTATATGTGTTTAATACACTACTGGCAATTGAAATTGCTACACCAGGAAGGCAACACACCATTAACGTGAAATTTGCAGGACGGATAAAGCATGTTGCGGGTATGCAAATTATTAGTTTATCTGCGCATTCACGCAAAGCAGGTGGTGGTAGCAACACCTACAATGTGTATAAAAGAAGAGATTTGACAGTAAGTTTCTCGTACAGAAATTGAATTTAAGCGCTGTTCTTGAGTAAAAAAGTTTTTGTTATGCCTCGTATAAGAAGGAGAAATGCCTACCAGCATGTGTCTGAGTTTGATCGAGGTCGAATTGTGGCCTACCGGGATCATGGTTTATCATACATAAGTATTGCTGCTCGCATTGATCGAGATCCCACGACTGTTAGCAGAATATGGAATCGATGGGTTCATGACGGTCATATGGAACGCCGTGCAGGATCTCAACGCCCCCCCCCATTACTAACAGCTGAGAAAACAGATATGTTATCCACATGGCCTTAAGGGAGGGCACAGCTACGTCACAAGTCCTGAGTCAACAAATGGAGTCATTTGCAAGACAACAAGTGTCTGCACGAGCAGATCGACGACGTTTGCAGCAGCATGGACTGTCAGCACGGCGACCATGGCTTCGGCTACACTTGACGATGCATCACAGGCAGTTGCGCCTCCAATGGTGTGATCAACGACGAACCTGGTCGGAGGAATGGCATGACGTCGCCTTTTCAGACGAATCCAGGTTCTGTATACAGCATCATGATGGCCGCATCCATGTTTGGCGACATGGTTGAGAACGCCCATTGGAAGCTTGCATTCGACATCGTCAAACTTGCCCATCACCTGGAGTAATGGTATAGGGTGTCATTGGATACTCGTCTCGATCACCTCTTGTTCGCATTGCCGGCACTTTGAACAGCAACCGTTTTATTTTTTATGTGTTAGAGCCAGTTGCACTGTCTTATCTTCGACTCCTCCATAACGTTACGTTTCAGCATACAATGTACGACCGCATGTTGCTCGCACTGTTCTGATCTTCCTTGACGCAGAATCTGTTCGCTTGTTGCCCGGGCCAGCACTTTCTCCTGATCTCTCACCAATTGAGAACATCTGGTCAATGGTTGCCGAATGACTGGCACGCCACCACTCGTCAGTCACTACGGTCAACGAATTGTGGCATAATGTTGAAGCTGCATGAAATGTTGTACCCGTCCATGGTATCCAATCTCTGTTCGACTCGATGGTCCGGAGAATAACTGCAGTTATTGCTGCTAGGGGAGGCTGCTCTGGGTACTGATTCCTCAGGATCTATACATCCAAATATCTTGAAATTTTAATCTCTTGTTCTTCCAACTATAATGTATGTACCAATAAATCATTCTGTTATTTGCATTCCTTCCTGGTATAGCAATTTTAATAGCCAGTAGTGTAAAATAACTTTTGTGGTTAATGACCGAATTTTCCTGTTGTACGTATGAGCTTTAATGGTTTAAAGTGTTGACCTTAAATAGTCTAATTAGTAAGTGCTAACTACAGAGTAATTGAAAATTAATATAGCGATTACAAACAGCTATAACTATTTAATGAAAAAGAATTTATCAATAAAATTTACACAGAATGTAGAGAGAACCTCAGAATAGTGTTTACATGCATCACAGATTTTATATGTGACTTCCCTTGGTCACACGGACAACATAGGGATGTATGGCGTGAACAACACGGACAACACAGGGATGTATGGCGTGAACAAAACGGACAACACAGGGATGTATGGCGTGAACAACACGGACAACACAGGGATGTATGGCGTGAGCAACACGGACAACACAGGGATGTATGGCGTGAAATGGCGGTAGTCCATTTCACGCCATACATCCCTGAAATATTTTTGCAGTCACCGACGTAAGCGCATAACAAATGCTTTCTTTGAGTTCTTCAATTGTTTTGGGCATGGGAAGCTCATGCACTCTGCCTTTCACATAACCCCATGGATAGAAATCGCAGGGTGTCAAGTCCGGAGATCCGGTGACACGCAAAATGCTTTCTGCTCGGGATTCGCCATTTTCATTAATGAACTCGCTCATGTGCAGGATTCCGATTCACTGCGCCTGCGTGTTACGTAAAACAAATTTTGAAGTTCCATCTGTATTCTATGTCGATCTTATCGATAAATTATTTTTCATTAAATAGCTATAGCTGTTTGTAATCGCTATATTCGTTTTGAATTACCCTATATTAACTAAGTTAAGAAATTCGACGGAAAAACATTCATTCTTTAAGCAAACGTACCTTTTTTCAAAGCGTTTGGATGTTTGTAAATGATTTTGTAATTTAGTAGTTTGCATCAATTGATGGGTCTTTTTAAGGTAAACTCTTTCAGCCATAATGATTCGATTGTTAGAACAAAACATATTCAAGGTTAGATGTCATTTTTCTGCAACTGTACAGTGTACTCTATATTTTTTCTCAATTGGCTTGAAAATGTACGTTAATTTTTTTTATTTATACTATATATAGTTATAAAAAATTATTTAGTCAGTTTATAACATGTTTTATTTTAAATTTCATATAAAATATTTAAAATGCCTTTCTTTTTTTTAAGAATATTTGGTGTAAAAACCTATGATTGAATTAATTGTCAAGGTTGTATTTTATGTCAATTACAAAGTATAAGACTGCCTAGATGTTAAAGATAGATTTTTCAGAATAGTTGATTTAAAAAATGATCAATACCATTTTTCTTTACCCATTGTTATTTTAAATGATAGCTATTACTTGATTGAAAGAAATGTTGAAAATTATAAAACGGAATGAGGAAAGTTAGTTAAAGAAAGTGAAAAGTGTTATTAAAAAATGTAGAAGATATTTTAAATAGATGTTACGAATTATTTTAAAAAATGTTAAGACTTATCAACAAATTTGTTTCAGCTCTTTTATTTTAAAATTGAAGTATTTATCTTTTGCAGATAGATCAGGGTCCATTATTTATGAAGGATAGTCAGCCATTTTATCGCCAGGGATCGGACAGTGATGAACATATTTATGAGGAAATTGATGAATTTCAATATGATTCTGATGATTATTTAGACCCTATTAAATTGAAACAACAGCCAATTTATACAAAATTGGTGGATTCAGTAAGTCAAGAATCCACTGTGAAATCCATAGCTTCTTACAAATTAATTTATCATTTTATTTTTCTATTAATAAGCTAAAATATGTGAGATGTAATTCAGTCTTTTCAGTGAGATATTCATAACGAAATACAAAAACATACCTGAAAGATTTGTAGCGCAAAAATAATCACCAATAATATCAAAAGAAAAAAAAAGAAACAAAAAGGCTAACAATAATAGTGCCTAAAATTAATTTATCATTTAATTTTTTATTAATAAGCTAAAACATGTGAGGCGTAATTCAGTCTTTTCAATGAGATATTCATAAACAAATCAATACCTGTGGGGGTACCGATGCAGGAGTTTCCTTGTCTTCTGGATTGGTTCAAAATTACAAGGCTACGGCGTTGAACATTAGTAGTCGAAAACCCAAAAATTAGGTCGGTTGTTCAACGGCGGTCATAAAATAAAATAAAATAAAATGAGATATTCATAAGAAAATACAGGCCGGGATAGCCTGGCGGTAGGGTGCTAGGCCCATGTCCGAGAGTTCATGTGTTCGAACCCCGCCGGCTACCCGAAGACTCCCCGTGTAGTAAAGTGACTGATGCACGTTAAATCTGTCGATTCGCAAAAGTCTTCCATGTTCCCATAACAGATCAATACCTCTGGGGGTACTGGATAATTCGATGATTAAAGAGTAGTATGGGACATGCAAATAGTGGCGGGACGCAATACCTCATTAAATCCTAAATTAGGAAGCAAATTTCATTTTTTCATAATTTGTTTTTAAAGAGTAGTTTTCCAACGAAAACATGTCCTGCGTCACAGATGAAAAGCTTGGTGATCGGTTGAAAGAGTTAAGTGCCATTTTGAAATAAATTGACACATGTCTGAGAACGATATTTTTTAGAACGATATTTTTGACATCACCGTTGATTTATTTTGTCAAAATCTTTAAATTTTAAAGGTTTTAGTAGATGATAATCACAAGTAATAATCGGGTGTTTCTCGAGTGGATGAAGGTTTCGAATGAATTTATTAACAAACATTTGACAAGTAAACCTTAGAAAACCTGGCAGCAAACTAAATGGCATGACAAAATGCATGACGAAGTTACAGAATTCGTCAAATTAAATTTAGCGGATGAGAAAAAATATAAAGAAGCATAATCTTTATTTCCTAATCCTAATGTATAAATTTTAAAGGGGCTTTAAAATGTTTATTTGAACTGGATTAATGAACTTTTTAATTAACTTTGATTAACTGAAATGTCATTTAGAACTTTCTTCGTTCTGAACTTAAATTTTACATTATTTACACTCCATTGTTTAGTAACACAGAAAAGTAATTCAATTTCCGAAACAATTTCTCGAAAATTCAACAGAGAACTGATGCTTGAAAAATGTTCATTCTTCTAAACATGCGAAGTTAAATTTGCTCACCCTTTAAGGGCTTCTTCATTCAACAGGAGCTGTCACTAGGTTAATAGTGCTCTAAACTTATACAAAATTTATAAAAAAAAGATTGACTACAAAACTGAAATCAAATCTAAAGCTCTCAGCATGCATTCAGGATAACGGTTGAGGTTAACAAGGATTTTCGAAGCTCTTTCGTCAAAGAAAATAAAAAACTATTTTTTTGTGCCTTATATTTGAAGTGAAAATATAATTTTGAACTGTATATGCCATCTTTCTGTAAAGAATTATCTGGTTTTTAGATCGGACAAATAACTAAAGTATTTAAAAAGTTATTTAACTTTTTTGAATAATCGCCAATTAGGTGACATTTTCCTCCGAGATGAAAATTAGCAAAATCAACACCCTATTCCCTAATTTTGCAAATTTTTATAAGCCCAGATAATGCAGCATTACAGTAAATTTCAAAATATTGAAAAATTATACCACAAACGCTTTTTATTTTCTCAAAACTGTAGCTTTTCTCCATATTGGCATTTTGCACTATTTTCAGAATAAGCACAAAGAGTTCTGTCTACAGATAGACCAAACTTGACCTAACGGCCACCAGTAACTGTTACAAACTCATATCAGTTATGAAAATAGCGTATTTTTGCAAAGAAGCATTGTCTCATGCGACTGCAAAGCCCTCAAAAAACAGCCTTAAGACTGGGGGATAGAGTAATGCACATGATTTTAAGCTGACATCTCATATTACAATCTTATTTCATTTTTCTAGTTAAGGATGATAGATAGCTCCTTTAATTTAACGAAATTAGAATAAAGCTTATTGAGATAGTTGGTTAAATGGATTTAAATTTCCGAGACATTTGTTATTTCCTAGTATAATGATACCAATATATTCATGTTTAATTTAAGATTATAAAAATGCTTATCAGGGTGGAACTTGCGAGGGAATACATTAGTCGATGTCCAGGGAATATTTTTCAGGCAAATCTGTCCGTTGCTTAGCAACCGTAGGAAAGAATCCGATATTGCAGTAGGAAATTTATTGAACTATCTTCAGTTACCTAGTAGATGAGAGATGCTTGTTACATATAACATTTCAGCAAAAATTGTCCGCAAACGCCACAGCATGTCCGATTACAAGGTTTATTGAAAGTTAAAACTAATATATCTTAATGGAAGCTAATCTATTTGTTATGTAGTTGCATGGCCTTTTTTAATTTTGTTCGTCGTGTAAATTTTTAATCTTTTTTTTACTCTTTTAAACTGTTTCAGCTTAAAATAAACTTTGTGTCATTTATAACTTCAGGAACATATTTATGAAGAACCACCTTTCTATCCTGTTTCTATATCGGAAGGCACTTTTCATTGCAAGAAACCACAACTTCGTGTACATGCTTCTAACAAAGCTAATGGCAGAAAACAGAAGGAGAGCAGTACTCGTTCCGACCACAAATCGAAACGTCTTAAAGCCAACAAACCTCTTAAAGATGCAGAGAAAGAAAGGAATGGTAAAGCAAAAGGAGTGAAGCACGTGAGCAAAAATGAAACCAAGACAGTTAATAAGCGTCATCTTGAAGATTTGCACAACATAAAGCTTCCATTCAACTCAAATAGCACAGGATTAAAGCAGCATCAGCAGTCTCGTCGTAATTCCAAGTTAGGATCAAACGAAACGCTTGCAGATGGCTTCGTCCGTAATCAAAAAAGGAGTTCAAATGGTGCGAAACACCAAGCTCCGTATGAATCACAGATTATAGGAGAAAATTTAAACCATCTTCTGAAGAATATTTTAAAAGATGCAAAGTATTCTGAGAATTCGAAAGGAACTGCGATTGGCCTAGAAGGTTTAGAGCCCGTTTCAAACACAAGGGAATCAGGGGAAAAATTGATTGAAATGAGTTTAAAACAGGCTGAAATACACACAGACCAGAAAAATGTGCCGGGTAAAAAATTATATTTACTCTAATATAGATAATTTTTTTATTATTTTCCTGCATTACAATTTTGAAAGACGCATATAATGACCTCAGAAAGACAAAATTGTGATTAAAGTTCATTATCATTGTGCAATTTATGCTAAAAAAACACTTAATTGTTAAACAACAAAAGTCGTTCTGATGTCAAAGTTTAATGGCTCAAAGCGTAGCAGAAATGTCTTAAATTGTGATTTCACCCTGGTAGATAAAGTTGTTAAAAAAAGTTGAGATGTTGTTTTACCCGAAACAAATTTTTTTTTTATGTTATAGTGATATTGAGTTAAATTATTATATTATCACGTTATTAAAAACCTTTACAAAAAATATCCTTAGCTGGTGTCTTAAAACTCAACGTTGACACCACAAGTTCACGTCATTTCAGGCAATGAAATTGACGCAACACTGACAAGAAAAAATCTGATGATAATTCATTCCATACAATGAAACAATTTAAAAAATCAAAAGTTTTTGCGTTTGGCAACTTGAAGTACATTTTGGACAAAAAAAAATAATTTCAAAGTGAATTTTTTTAAATTTTTATCAGAAGCACGTTTCATTTCATTTTTCTCAGCCTGGTTAACTTGGTTAATCCTTAATGAGCCTGACGCTGTACTGCTCCTATATTTTCTTAACTGGTGTCTTAAAACTCAACATTGACACCATAAGTTCACGTCAATTCAGGAGTTCACAACACTGACAAGAAAAACTCTGATGGATAATTCATTCCAGACAATGAAACAATTTAAAAAACATTTTACATTTTTGACAAACTTTTTTTTATTTGGAAGTGATTTTTTTTTATCAGAAGCACGTTTCATTTTTCTCAGCCTGGTTAACTTGGTTAAACATTGATGAACGTGACGTTTTATTACTCCTATATTTTCTATCTGCCTGTTTTTTTTTTCTTTTCGTTTGAATTTCACTTGATTTTAAATTTTGAAGCATGCTTGGCATCTTGCCTTTCGTTTCTGAAATCCAATCCAATTTTTCAACATTTAAAAAAAATTCTCGAAGATTTCTTTCGATCATGTTTGCATTTTATACTAGCGCCCATTATTTATGTGTGCTTCGGTTTTATGAATTTAATAAAGTCTTTAACGCTATTCAAAACACATTTACACATTAAATAAATAATCCCCAAAAACTGCAGCGGTAAGATATTACCTATTTAATAAAACATTTCATTTCTTTTAAAAGTATGCAGACGGAAATAAAAGTCGACTCTTAAGACTCTCAGGCACTCTTAAAAATAGACGTTTATTCTTAAGATTTACCAGGCTGAAATGAGAAGAGACAAAAGTGATATGAAATATAAAACGCAAAATTTCCAACGATACATTAACAAGCCCAGTGACATCAGCTCATCTTGATACGTTGGAATCTTGTTTCATTCCTATGAATACTAATTTCCTTGTTAATAACATTAGTTTCTCGCCACCTCACCATAGCGCTGGAAAATGCGTTTTATGATGGTCCGATTGTTTCACTATCGGCTCATGAGGTTTTTACAAGTTTACATTTTTCGTTAGCCACTTTACGTTTTATATTTAAAATCACTTTTCTTTCTTTTCAATCGCGCCTTTCAAGTCTTGAAAATGGGTGCCGAATTTTGTGCGCTTGAAACATTATCGCCTTTTATTTCCACATGCATATTTTTGAAGCCAATGACGTTATTTAAAAAGTACTATATTACACATTACAAAAAAACTTTCATAATCTGCATCATCCCGTCAAAATAGACAGTGACTTAATAGCTCCTAAGTATTGACTTAGGCTCTACGCTTTAAAAATTTATCTTTTAATCTAATATTACCTATAAAACACAGCGTAGATGAAAAAAACTGTTCCTTAAAAAATAAATTAATTAATTAAACGTTCCGATGAAGCAATAGTACAATGTCATTAAATAAATAAAGTAAAAGTAAAATAAAAATCACAGATGAAAAAAAAAATCTCGAAGTGTAGGACTTTCAGATTCCTGACCATGGGGAAATGCAGTCCTTTTTGAGCATTTAGCTTTGATTCCTGGGAATTCAAAAGAACTGTTAGTTTTAAAATTTGGCTTAATAATGTATATTTTGACTTGTTACAGTTATAATTAAGCTGAGGTGACCAGGGTTCGAATCCCAGCAATGGCTGGTCAATATAAATTCCACATCTTGCTCGTACTTACCATAGTGCTTGCAAAAAATACCATCTGCGGTAAATACCCTCTTCGTGGTTTTCTTCTCCATGCAATGCAAATGCGGGTTAGTTCCATCAAAAAGTCCCACACGAAGGCAAAATTTATCCCAATATTTGATCCATAAATTCCCTTGTCTTCTGGATTGGGTTCAAAACTACAAGGCTATGGAGGTGAACATTAGTATTTGAAAACTCAAAATTGGGTCAGCTGTTCAACGATGGTCGTAAAATAAAATAAAATTATAATCAAGCTGTACTATCTATTTTTCTTACATCAAAATTATTCTTTTGTTACATCAAAATTATTCATATTCTTTTGTTAGATCTGATTAAAGGAAAGAGAGAAGACTCAAATTCAACATCTGAGGCAGCCATGGATATTTTTGATAATCTTGATCTGCCAGAAATTAATGATAGCAGAATTTTCTAGAGATACCTAAACAGAAAAAATAGTCTTATGTAATCTAAAGAGATTGTTGTCTAGAATGCTAGTATATACCATGCCATGTAGATATAGTGACAAGTATGATATAGTGACAATAAAGTATGAATAAATATCCTTTTTCCTCTGTTATAGCTTGAGTTTACTTGACTTTCAGCTGTTTTTCTAGAGCTATATTGTTGACTGAAATAATGCTTGCTGTGTTTTTTTTTAAATAGTTCTTCATGTTTGTCAGGCATAGTACCAAACTTAAGCAAGTGCAAATAAATGAATGTCACGAAATGACAGTATGAGGAAAAGTTTCGTGTAAATAAAACTTTCAATACTAAGTTTTTTTTTAATATTATAAAAATATTTTATCCAAATTTTAGTATTTTATAGATTTAAATAATTTTTTTTATCTAGGTGCAGAATTTCTCCAAACTAGTAACTTTTAAAAGAAATTTAACTTTTTCTCAAAAATATTTAATCAATTCGCCCGTTTTGAAATTTAGATAATTTTTTGAAACAAAATAGTATTTTTGTGAAGTTTTTGACAATTATTATAAATATTTTTTTATATATAAATTTTTAAAATGCTTATCAAAAATGGAAAAATAAAACTAGAGTGTACCTATTGAGTGTCGCAAACAATGATTTACAATTTGAAATCTGACAAATCAATGCACAGGAATATTGGAATAATTAGCAGCAATACAGGTTTAGTTAGGGAAGTATACAGAGAGAAGTTGAACGTCAATTATTATAAATACTTTCAATTTTCAACCTCCAATTAAACTTGTTTTGATGCTTATTACCACATTTAGATAGCGTGTAATTATCACATTTCGAGAGCGTTTTTATTTTTTCCCTTTTAGGTATAAATTTGTGACACCCAATGTGTGGCTATTCCTTTATTTTAATTTTCAATATGGATTCTAAAAATGAATATTAAGGGATATCTTTACGGAACACCTTGTATATAGTTTTAAATTTTAGTGTTGATTCGAGTTTAAAGTAATGAAACAGAAGCCTTTTTTTATATAACTTGTTGATTGTGCTAAAAAATAATAATAGTTTAAAAGAATTAATTCGAATATATTACTATACATGTGGCTGTTTTTTAAACGTAATGTTCTTGCAACGAAGCCATTAATGAGACGTGAGTAAGCAAAAAATAAATGAAACTATAACAGTAAAAAAGTAAATAAAAAACGTGACTACACGTACCGTAAAAGTATTTAGTTTAACTTAACACCAAACATGGCGGTAACTATTCGCCAAATTTTTTTATATAGTTCTTTACTCTGTTTTTCAATATGGCGACCATAGCTGTCAAGAAACATATTGAAACATAAAACCAATTTTTCCATTCCAATGTCTGCGGCTGCTAAATATTTGAGCGAATATGTCACTTCTTTTGAGATCATCGTTGGCGAATTCTTTTCCACCTAAAAATATATTTAATGGCTTGGCTCGGTATTTTAATAGAAGTTTCGAAAAGCTATAACAGAAATAATTTTGACCAGTTGTTATAGGAATGAAATACATATCGATCTTATCTCAACATGTAAAACTACTTAAAGATTAAACCTCAATGTATGAAAACTAATTTGTTATACACTTATTTAAGATATAGACTTAACCCTTAAATGCGAAGCGATGTAGAGTGCACAGTATGTTTAAATCTCATGTCTTTCTATAAAGCAACCTTTGCATATTAGTGATTTTTTTTAAATTTTAATTGTCCTAAAACTAGTTTATCGTTTCCAAACGCAACTAGACTTTTGAACATTTTTTTCTATTTGTGAGAATTGCCATTGTTGGCATGCTATCTGACTACTACTTCATTTGGATAGTTAATAGGAATTACGATTATTTATATGTTGTTGTTTTTGACGTATGCCTGTTCAGGCAGAGGGGGTGCGATTTTTCTTGCTTTCCAATGGCGCCATCTATGGCCAAGAATTCGACTTCTGCAATACCATACGGCGCACCCGTTTATAGGGCGGCCCCATTCACACATTCATCCACAGATCGTAATTTTGACCTGAATCAGAGAACGATCGATCTCCAATCCAGTACCCCTAGAGGTATTGATTTGTTATGGGAACATGGAAGACTTTTACGACTCGACAGATTTAACGTGCATCAGTCACTTTACTACACGTGGTGTCTTCGGCCGGTGGGGTTCGAACTCACGAATTCTCGGACATGGGTCCAGCTCCCAACCGACCAGGCTATCCCGGTCCGGATTATTTATATGAAAAGTATTTATGCTTGCGAACAATTATTTATAGAAAAAATTTTGTTTGAAATATTACAGTATTGTAAGCAATATGTAAGTCGAAGTCAAAGTGGAATTATTCATAATAATGTAGAAATACGTCAATGTTTTATTTTTTTCTAAAAAAAAAGAAGAAAAAAGCACCTGGAAAAAAATTTAACGTGTTTTTTTAAATATTTTTGCCATTAAACAAATCCCTGTAAGTTTTTAGCATTATTTATCAAAAATAAAATTTCATGCAGTTAAGTTTTTAGTCAAGTTGTTAATTAACACTCCTTTAACATTTAAGTTTATGTTAATTTTACAACAAGGGCGAATTAATACCAGTTAGGTGGAAAATGCTAATATTTGCGGTGACTGGCATAAGTCTGTTTCAATAAACTGATTATAAATACTTTTAATAGTATTTTTTTAATCTTTCAAATAAACACTATCAAACTAATTTAGTTTTTAGTTGATGTAATTGTAAAAAAACTATGTAAATAAATATGCATGTAAAGGAAACGAGTGGTTTGGTAATGTTAAAGAAATATGTAGCAATGAATAAGCTAATCTATTTGAAGAGGAAAATTTCATTTGTTATTTTGAAAAAAGTCATTACCACTGATTAGTAAGATATTATTTAAAAAAAAAATAATAAATATGGCTTTATTGCAATCTAAACCTTTTTTTTCTCTCGAACTTAGAGTTACAGAATTTGGACAATGGGAAAATTAATATTCGACCTTTATGTAAACAATATTTTTAGCAACACATTTTTTTTTGGAATATTTTGCAAGAAAAAAATCTTGGAACAATTCTAAAGATCATAATTGAAGAGTTTAGAAATGGTGTGTGAAATTCGGCTCCATCAAATGCCATTTCAAATTTGAATCTACCAAATTGAAGGGGGGGGGGAATTAATTAATTTTTTCTAGTTTTAATGCCAGCAATTTTGAAAGTATTCTATAAGATTGCAATATTATTTCAGAAAGCTTCTTTAATTTTTTTCTAATCCCCACCTGTGTTAACATTTCGTCAATTCAGGCATTTACAGGGCAATTTTGTTGGCCTCTCTTTCAGGGGCACCATATCAGGTGAGCCAACGTTGCTCCCATAGTAACGACAAACAGTTCAGAGAATGAAAGAACATCCATGCTTTGCCCGGGATTCGAACCCAAAAACCTTTCTGATGCAAGGGCAGTTCCCTAACCCCTACACAGGCCGGTCGGAGCTTTATTAATTATAGTGGTATTGAAAAGGAAAGAAGTTTTTAATTTTCTAAGCAAATTTCAGTCGATGCAAATTTTACATGAGTGAAAAGAACACCGTTTCCAAAAGCTTTAAGTATGATCTTTCAAATTGTTCCAACAGTTTTGCCTTGTAAAATCTTCAAAAACATTTGCTGCTGAAAAAAAGATTGTTTGCATTGAGTTAGTATAAAAGTGTTGTTAGACCCCTGCAGCAGTTGTTAAGTTTTAAGTAAGATCTTTCAAATTATGCAACAGTTTTGCCTTGTAAAAATTTCAAAAACCATTGCTGCTAAAAGAAAGATTGCTTGTATTGAGTTAGTAAAAAAGTGTTGTCTAACCCCTGTAGCTGTCGTTTAACGAATTAAAAAAGATGGACCAACTTTTCACTGGAGAAAGCAAGTTTTAAACAATTGAATTGTTGTTTATAATTTTTTAATAGTTCTTTCCTGTAGTGGATTGATCGTAAAGACACGGTTCCCATTAGAACACCGAAGTCAAGCATCACTGGCAGTGGCTGATAACTTTTATCAGTCTGCACAGGGACCGAGGAAGCGCGGTATCGGTCCTCGTTAAACTGCTCAGCTTTGCACGCAAGTTATCGAGCTACCAAAGCAGAGGAGTCATCCCCTCTGGAAAATATAGAAATTGAGATGGCATGTCTTCGGATAATTCTCATGGATGTTTCCAAGACCACGCCAATAGGCCATTGTGAAGCTGTAGTGCGACGTAAATAAAATACGTACCTACCTATTTTTAATAGCTTTAATGTTTTTGTAGTTCATTTACGTCGCACTAGAGCTGCACAATGGGCTATTGGCGACGGTCTGGGAAACATCCCTGAGGATGATCCGAAGACATGCCATCACAATTTTGATCCTCGGCATAGGGGATGCTCCCCTCCGCTTCGGTAGTCCGACGACCTGCAAGCGAAGTCGAGCACTAAATTCCGCATTGGACTGATCGTAAAGACACGGTTCCCAGTAGAACACCTAAGTTAAGCATCACTGGCTGCGGTCAGTAAACGGGTGGGTGACCAGTTTGATCAGCCTACTTAGAGACCAAGGGTGTGCGGTATCGGTCCTCGTTAAACTGTTCTACCGTAAATTGCTTGACTTCGAGAGCAGGTCGTCGGGCTACCAAAACAGGAGACCCATCACCTCACCAGAGGATCAAATTTGCGATTGCATACCTTCGGATCATCCTCAGGGATGTTTCCCAGTTCGTCGCAAATAGACTTTTATGCAGCTCTTGTGCGACGTAATTAAAGTACGTAAATAAAGTACCCACCAACCTTAGATTTTATATTCCTCATTTTTACGATTTTTATTAGAGAGTTGGCATAATTCGCAGTTAAGAAACCGAAAACTAGGAATATTAGTGGTACATTATATTTCATATTAAAGATACGTATAATGAATGTTTCGAGCCAGTCATTGATTTTTTTTATCTGCTGAATTCATAATTCAGGTCGAAGGGGAAATATGAATAAGTGAATAACTATGAATTTCCAATTTCTTCTACTCAAATATCTTGACTATAAGACCATCCAGTTTAATAATTTGCTATTCATTATAACTATTCAGTTCAGATTGATTCTTACGCGTCCTTTTAAAAATGGTAATTACTCATCAGTTCCATTCTAAAATAAATATTTTTCTTCCCAATTCTGAACTCTTATTACGTGTTTTATTTTTCGATTATTTTCCGAAATAAAAACTTATTTCAAGAATAAATAAAAATATAGAAAAATATTTATATAAAGAAACTGATACATGAAATCAATATTCAAATAAAGAAAAATATTGATTTCTTGCAGCTACAACTAGAGATTAAAAAAAAAATCAAAATCTGAAAAATAACTAGGCTGAAAAGTGAGCTAATTTCAGACACTCTATGTGGCTGGACATTAAAAAGTTTCACTTTTGTTAAGGCAAAGGCAAAATTTTACGAGTCAAAATTTAAAGCTCAGATTAATATCTCTTAAAACTTCAATATTCAAAGATATTTCCTTATTTTTAATAGAGAAATTTGATGAAAATGTTCGTGTCAAAAATGATGGGAAATTCGGTAACAATGTAAACTCGATGACAGAATCGTAAGCAGATAAAGAAAGCAGGGTTTATTAATTACATAAGTTGCAAAGAATAAAATTTATATAAACTTGGTAAAAACAAACGGCTTAAAACTATTTACAGTTTCTTTCTTTTATATAGCTTAACATAGTTGGCAGCTAACAGTTCTCTGGTCATGGGCAGAATTCCTTTACTTACAACATTTTCAGCAGTTTCAAGCACTTTGAATACAATTGCAGGTGCTATTTGCTCTTTACCAGTTTTGGATGGCGCGCTTTTATACAATATATCTTGCTTCACGTCTGGTTTTGATGACGTGGTTTCTTTATCTACGTTTTCCTGAATTTTGACCTCTGGTAAAATTCCAGACCTTTCAATTTTAGGTCTAGACATTTTCTCGTAAACAGATTTCCTTTCTTGAAGTTTCGTTTTATGAAGTGAAGAATCATCATCAGAAGACTCACCGCCTTTAGAAACCTCTGATGCAACGAAAGATCTTACAAGCTCTCTGAATCTGTCTTTCACAGAATCAATCAAATCGGTAGTGGTCTCTTGCTGAGCTAGATCTTCAAAAGTCGGCAAGGGTGAATTTTTATCGAATTCTATCTCTACAGCTTTGTTATAGTCTATTTCTGTACCAGATTCTAGTCCTCGTCTTTTGGTGGCATAATTGATTATCTTGTACAGGAATGGTAGAAATTTCATTTCTTCAAAGATTGGGTGGGAGTGCTCTAATCGAAAATTATACGGATAGATGACATTTTCCTCCAAGTACTCATTTAACCCATCTTCGACTGGTGCTTGATAACCTTGCAGAAGGTAGTTTATATCATAATAATCTTGAGAAAGAGAGCATGTCGAGTTGAACCAATAGTCACATGATAGTATTTGCTGGTTAAATGTACTGCCAACTGGACAAAGATAGCTTTCTGTTCGTTGTGGCCAACACGCATGGAATACCTAAAATTAAAAATATAAATTTGTTTTGTAGTAAAAACTTAAATAAAGTGTAACAAAATTAATAGTCCCAAGTGTAAGAAGTCATCCTTAACAATTTAGTACTGTATTTATTCAAAACCAAAAGTTTGAAACAGTGTTTATTTGGATATGAAAGTATTGGAACAGAAAGGTAGAAGGAAATTCTGTCTTGATTAGTGATAATTGGGAAAAGTAGACACACCTTAAAAGAATTTTTATTTTTTAATAATTCGAATTCCTATATTTATTCTAGTTTGTGCACTTTCACAACTCAATATGGGGTCTCCAAGCAAAGGGCTGACCGCGAGAGGGTGACTTTCGTTATTTAATAGGGTTTAAACGTAGCCTTTCCCAGAAATGGTCACTCTGCTCGCATTAAATACCAAATGCTCAAATGCTGAGAAAACCTCTATGTACTTTCGCACAGAGCTGCAAAAGTAGCGGTAAGACTTTGCCTGGAGCTATTTCTAGACAGGACGTTGTTTGCGTAAAATAAGTATGCGGGAGTTTTAGAAAAGCCATAATTCTTACAGAATCTATTTTATTCTTCCAGTGTTTGCAGAGAAAGAAATTTTTATTTTCAAACTCTATACTGAGTTAATATGGGCTTTTAGGGAAAATATTTTTAACGCTAGATATTTGCTTGGATATTTAAAACAAATATAACTATTATTTAATGAACTAATTTTAAAAATAAAACTATATTTGGTATTTTATTATAAACTAATGCAACATTAACAAGTTAAGATTTAAATTTTTCCTGTTGATCCTGATGATCTATGTTTCTTGTACATAAACTTATGCTCTGTGGGAAAGCATGAAAGTTTCTTGTAAGCAAAGGAGTTGAAATAAAACATCTCACATTAGTTTTGTTAGATTCCTATAAAAATTATTAAACTTACTATATAAATATATGCTTATGGAACTCACGTATAAGACTACATAAGTTCTGATTTTAACGAGAGTATAATTTTAAATTTAGTACTGTATTTATTCAAAACCAAAAGTTTGAAGCAATGTTTATTTGGATGTGAAAGTATTGGTACAGAAAGGTAGAAGGAAATTCTGTCTTGATTAGTGATAATTTGGAAAAAGTAGGCACACCTTAAAAAAAAAACTATTTTATTTTTTAATAATTTGAATTCCTATACTTATCCTAGTTTGTATTTGCTGAATATCATTTACAATAGGCGGAATAAAGTTATTTATAAGAGAAACTATCCTTTCAGATTTGTTTTGCTCGACACTTTTTAAGCAAAATATTTGCAAAACTGACAATTATACAAGTGAAAAAGTGTTAACAGTTAGTCTAAGAACGCTTTTATTATTTAAAAAAATTAATTAATCTGTAAATTTGAAGCTAATTCCCAAAATGAGTAAAATATTAAATATTTTCGTGTAATTTTCTATTGCATTTCTTGTTAAATTTTTTAAGATCTAACAAATTTATTAACATTTAAACTCTGGATAAGTTAAAGTATGAAAGTCAAACCTCCGCTTGAACTTCACCTTAATATAAATTTATATCTAAAGTAGGAACATTTGCAATAACTAATACTAGATTAAAGCAATTTGAAACTTAAAATAAAATATTGGACAATCATTCGAAATATTTGTTGAAAAATAAAATAGCATTATAAATATTAAACTCTTGTCTAGCCTTTGAATATGAAATTCCCTAAATTTAGCACAGCTCTGTTAAAAATACTTGCTCTCTACATTTAGTATTCTGTTAACTATTTAACTTTACTAGTTGCAATGCTTTCAACATAATTTATTAAAAGTAACATTTAATATATTTACTAGTATTGCAAATACAAAGGCTTAGAGTTTGATGCGTAATAGTAATTAATAAATATTTTATCTAAATTTTTTTCTCACCATTATTCAACCGGAAGTATGTTAGAAATAACATCGAAAGTGCTTAACATTTTAACAGGATTTAGAATTATCAGAACGAATTTCGGAAATTTGAAGGTAAACATACAAAAGTAGCGAAACTAAACCCGTAATGCTCATCTTAAATAATTTAACACCAAGAGAATAAAACCAGTTTATGAAATGTAAAAAGTTTCATACATATTAATGTTCATTCATGGAACAGCATTATGTTAAGAGACTAATTACCCAGACTAATATTTATTTTAAACAAATTTCAAATAAATACAAAACCATCTGTTGTATGAACTTTAAGCTTTAATTCCCCATTTAACACATTATAGGAAATTAATATTTGTTTTAGCAAATTTTATTAATTTGTTACAACTTATCTATAAATAAAATGTTTGTACAGAGTGAATAGGCAAACATTTTTTGAAATCATGCCAAAATTAAATGTACATACCTGGCATCGAGTTTCAAGATCAGCGTAGAGTCCAGGATTTTCCTTGCCTTCACATGTAAATGAGGTTGGTGCAATAGTTGTATAATTCGGATAATCATCTCCTGGTAAACCAATCACATGATCCAAGTATGAATATGCAGGTGTGGTTTGCATCAGTCCAATTCTTTCAGAAATATTTTCTTGATTTTGAGCATCTTCAAACATCAATTGAGAGTACGAATCCCTTAGAAAAACAGGATCAGTGGCAACTGTCTTCTCGTTTTTAGAAGAAATTGCAGCAATCACTTGTTCTATGGAAGCTTCTGGAACTTTTAGAGTATGCTTAGCATTGTTTTCAAAATGTTCCAAATCAAGAAAACTTTCAGTGTCACTAGAGATAATATCTTCGAGCTTGGAACTCTTGGCAGATTCTTCGTTGTTATATTTCTCAGCAGCTTCACGAAGAATTTTGACCAATTCAGTCATTTCTTCTATTGACGATTCATCCTTTTTTGTAAACCACGAAGTAGCTTCCTTGTCAGATTCATAGTTTTCTTCTACTATAATGTCGTCAGAATCATCTTCTGTGATTGAGTGAGTATCCATAGTTTTTTCATCAGAATCATCTTCTGTAGTAGATAGCACATCTGTAGTTTCTTCGTTTGAATCCTCGTCTTCTGTGGTTGATAGAATATCCATAGTTTCTTCGTTTGAATCATCGTCTTCTGTGGTTGATAGAATACCCATACTTTCTTCGCTTGAATCACCGCCTTCTGTGGTTGATAGAATACCTATACTTTCTTCGCTTGAATCANCAGAAATATTTTCTTGATTTTGAGCATCTTCAAACATCAATTGAGAGTACGAATCCCTTAGAAAAACAGGATCAGTGGCAACTGTCTTCTCGTTTTTAGAAGAAATTGCAGCAATCACTTGTTCTATGGAAGCTTCTGGAACTTTTAGAGTATGCTTAGCATTGTTTTCAAAATGTTCCAAATCAAGAAAACTTTCAGTGTCACTAGAGCTAATATCTTCGAGCTTGGAACTCTTGGCAGATTCTTTGTTGTCATATTTCTCAGCAGCTTCACGAAGAATTTTGACCAATTCAGTCATTTCTTCTATTGACGATGCATCCTTTTTTGTAAACCGGGAAGTAGCTTCCTTGTCAGATTCATAGTTTTCTTCTACTATAATGTCGTCAGAATCATCTTCTGTGATTGAGTGAGTATCCATAGTTTTTTCATCAGAATCATCTTCTGTAGTAGATAGCACATCTGTAGTTTCTTCGTTTGAATCCTCGTCTTCTGTGGTTGATAGAATATCCATAGTTTCTTCGTTTGAATCATCGTCCTCTGTGGTTGATAGAATATCCATAGTTTCTTCGCTCGAATCATCGTCTTCTATGGTTGACAGAATACCCTTAGTTTCATCGTTGGAATCATCGCCTTCTGTGGTTGATAGAATACCCATAGTTTCATCGTTGGAATCATCGCCTTCTGTGGTTGATAGAATACCCATAGTTTCTTCGCTTGAATCATCTTCTGTGGTAGATAGAATACCCATAGTTTCTTCGTTTGAATCATCATATTCTTTGGTAGATATAACACCCATAGTTTCTTCGTTTGAATCATCATCTTCTGTGGTAGACAGAACACCCATAGTTTCTCCATCAGAATTATAGTCTTTTGTAGTTGAAAATGGAGCCTGAGTGTATTCTTCAGGCGTATCATCTATGCTTGTCAATGGTACCAGTGTAACTTCTTCGGCAGAGTATGCTGATGGGAAAGTTACAGTCTTTATTTCAGCCTCTTCATCTTCAGTTGTTGGTTGAAACATTAAAGTAGCTTCTCCTTTGAAAAATTTGTCAGATGTTTGTGTAAATATTTGCTTTTCACTCAAAGCAGATTCCTCTTCAGGATCAAACGTTTCTTCTGTTGCGTATAGCTTGGGATTTTCAAAATTTCCATTAAGAAAAGATTCAAAAGTTGTTTCATCAATAAAAGATTCTGCATTTTGTTCTGTAATTGGTACAAATGTTAAAGTTACATCAGAGGTTTCATCAACAGTACGGGTAGATTCATCAGTTTCTTGATCTTCCTCATTCGATAGTATAAATTCCAAGGACTTATCCTCAGATGAATCAGTATCATCTGGAACTACTTGGGAAGCCCGATATTCGGTCTCCATTTCAGAATCTGTAGCCTCTTCATTTGACAGAATAAATGCAACGGAAGTTTCATCAATTTCAGGATCATTATCTCTTACATCTGGAACTATAGTTGATGTGCTATAGTCAGGTTCCATTTCTGAATCTGATACCCCCTCATCTGATAAAATAAACGATAACGTGGCCTTTTCACTTGTGGAATCACTCCCAACTGGACTTACTGTTGAAGCACCGTATGCATTATCTGTTTCAGAGTTTAAAACAGTTCCATCTGTGTCGACATTTTCATGTTCATAAACATACTTTGTCAAATCTTCCCCTTTATTAAGCTCAACTATAGTAGAAATTGTAGGCGTAACCCTCAAGTAAGGAGTTTCCGTAGTTTTGAGATACTTTAAGAATCTGGTTCGGAAAGATTGAGCAGCAGTTTCGAATCTATCGAACAACTCTTCTAAACTTGCAGATTCTAATTTCGCTGGATCGGTTGTAGTTATTTCTGGTAAACCAAGTTCTCGACCCTCTGTCTCGTCTGCTCTATTAATTAAAGCAATGAACATATGAAGCAAATCAGAAATTTCCATTACATGTTTAGCAAAAGCGGTTTTCACACCTAACCGAGTTTCAGCAATTTCATCTGGAGTTTCAAACACTTCAGCACCTAATGATTAAAAATAGTCCTTAACATCTAAAGATTACTTACCCCCCACTCTGATTAATACATTTATATACACAAATATGATGTATAATGAAATGCATATCTCTTAAAATACATTTATTTGTTGATAAATTAATTTTGAACCTTTTTAATTTGAAAGTTATTTTAAAATACTTTTAAATAAAATACTGTAAAAAATAAAGAAAATATTCGTAATTTTAACTAAGCAATTGAGATATAAAATTACACATGTTTTATAACTTATTTCATAATTTTAATTTTCAAATTTGATTTTATAAATATACAAAGATATCTGAAAAAAATAAAAGCTTGAAATTGATAGTCTTAGCATTTAGTAAAGATTTTATTTATTTTTATTTTTGAAAAGAAAAACTATCAAACAGCTTTTAACGCATTGAAGCATTAAATCATTTTGGAGTAATATTAATATTACACTCACTGAAACTTTTCCAAATACTAATTTTATCGATTATTATAAATTTACTGGTATCAATATGAAGTATATGGTTTATATTATGTCTATCGAGTGCGCGGTAAAAGTTTCAATCACTGGCAAAAATGTTTCAAACCATCAAGAAATTCTCAAAACGTAGTATTTAAAATTTCTATTACTACTTTCAGTAAAAATTAGCTTAAATAAGTGTTTTAACTTACTTGAAATACCGACAGTAACAAGAAATCCCAGAACAGAAACCTAGAAATGAAAAACAAATTAGAGTCAAATAACTGTTCCTATACTATAAAACTTTCACTTAAAATTCTGAGTTCATGTTAACGTTAAAAGTAAATTTAAAGAAGTTAAGAGGTTTGATTAATAATACTCTCTAAGGCTCCTTTTTTTAAAAAAGAATATTAAAAAATTATATTTATTTTAAAAACTGAATTTTTCTAAACTAAGTAACTTGTATTACAGTATTTTTGGAAGGTGGGAAAAAAATAGAATTTCTACAAACCCTTACTATTGCTTGTGAAAGCAGCATGTTTACACTTAGCAGAAAAAGCAGCAAATACGATCTAGCTGTTCTTTTTATCTATATTACATGCTAAGCAATTCGAAAACTGAGTGACGTAAATAAATGTTCACCAATCGAAGCTTGCAACAAAAAACCCCCATAATTTGTAAGAGCATGTATGCTTGCATCTCGGTCATTAATTGAATGTAGTGGGTTCGATTCCCACTGTAACACTGAATGTATATTTGTGCTTTTGTGTTACTCTTCTACTTGTATTCAACACAGAAGCCTAACCATGTTTATAAATAAATAAATAAATAGGAATTGTATTCTTCATGAAGACATCAATGTGTCCAAGACACAAGGTTTTAAATTGAAAGACTCAAACTCAATGAAGTACTTTAGCGCTTGCAAGTGAAAAGCATTGACTTGCTCTTAATTGAAGCACAAACTAATATCTTCGCAAAGTGGGGCATGAAATTCGTGAGATTGTTACCATTTTATGATCTACAGTGGGATCATGTATTGGGCAGGCACGTGCCATTACAGTTTTCAAATCATCAAAAAGAATTATCCTCGTATTGTCACCAATACAACCATTAGTATAATTCTAGTCCAGCATGACGTTAATAATCAAATCAAGTTGTTGTAGTTGTAGTTTATTTACGTAGCACTAGAGCTGCACAATGGGCTATTGGCGAGGGTCTGGGAAACATCTCTGAGGAAGATTCGAAGACATGCCATCACAATTTTGATCCTCTGCAGAGGAGATGGCTTCCCTGCTTTCGTAGCCCGATGACCTGCAAGCGAAGTCGAGCACTTTACGGTAGAACAGTTTAACGAGGAGCAAATCAAATCAAGAACCAACACTTTAATGTCTGTAGCGCGGAACCAATACGTTCGATTACCTCTGTAACCATAGGTGCTATTTTATTTTTCTCTTCGTGATGCCTGCCGATAATTAGTGCTATATTTATTCAATTCTACGAGTACTTATGAGCCATATAAACACACAACCAGGCAACTTTATATGTGAATAATAAAGAGAGCATTAATCTGTAGACTTGTATTCTGATGTCCAATACAAATAGTTTAAATAGAATAACTGAGTTGTTGTTGTTGTTGTAGTTCATTTACGTCGCGCTATAGCAGCACAATGGGCTATTGGCGACGGTCTGGGAAACATCTCTGAGAATGATCCGAAGACATGTCATCAAACTTTTGATCCTCTGCAGAGGAGATGAAAATCTATATGAATCTTCTGGAATGATCCGCGACGGCTTAGTAGATAGAGCGTTCATCTTTCAATGAGGTGAACCTGAATAGAATCCCAGGGATGGCTGGTCGATGCGAATCCGCATCCGGCTTGCAGCAACCATAGTGCCGACGTGAAATATCCTTAGTGGTAGACGGATGATGGGTTAGAGTCCCTTTGCCGTCAGGCTAACAGTAGGGGGTTCTCGTAGTCTTCCTCTCCATGTAACGCAACTGCGGGTGAGTTCCCTCAAAAAGTCCTCCACGAAGGTAAAATTTCTCCCAATACTTGATCTTGGAGTTCCCTTGTTTTCTGGATTGGGTTCAAATTACAAGGCTATGGAGTTGAACATTAGTAGTCGTAAACTCAAAAATCAGAACGCCTGTAATGAAATCAAATTTTCTGGATTATAACCTGAGTTGAAAATCCTTTTTGTACGCCATTGTCTTATAGAAAACACCATTACGGAAAATAAACCGTAAGAAAAGTAAAAAATTGATTAAAACACTTAAAGTTACTGCTAAAATTAATCAGCTACTTCTAGTTTCAAAACACTTAGCGAACAGAGAATACCCGTCGATTTCCCAGACCTCTGTTAGTTGCTCTATTTTGCTTTGAGTGCTCCTCACTTGTACATTTAGTGGGGAGCACTCAAAGCAAAATACTTTAAAATTGACTTTCAGCCCTATCTTTTGTGAATGAAGCTGGTTATACTTACACAGATGACAAAGAAAGAGTAAGATAATTTCTCTCTAACCACAACTATTATTTCTATCGATACCCTGGTATTACAAGCCTGCATTCTTATTATCATTACACTTGGGATCACCATGGTCAAAGAGTATAGCTCTTTCCCCCATAACTCTTAAGCCTAGAGTCCCGCGGTATACTGATCGTTAAGACACGGTTCCCAGCAGATCATCGAAGTCAAGCATCACTGACTGCGGTCAGTGTGCGGGTGGGTGACCATTTGGATTAGTCTGCGTAGGAACCGAGGCTGTGTGGTATTGGTCCTCGAAAAACTGTTCTACCGTGAAACTCTCGACTTCGCGTGCTGGATAAATTCTACCGAAGCGGAGGTGCCATCCCCTCTGCAGAGGATCAAAATTGCGATGGCATGTCTTCGGATCATCCTCAGGGATGTTTCCCCGACCATCGCCAATAACCCATTGTGCAGCTCTAGTGCGACGTAGATGAAATACAACAACAACAACCTAAGCCCGAAAGTATCAGGTTCGAATCCCATCGAAATCCTGGTTTTATCCTACTGCCGCCGCCCTTCCTTAATTTGTAGCACCTCTTGTTCTATTTGACAAGGATTAGGTTATTAGTATAAAGCTCGCTAGCCGGTGTGTGAATAGTTAAATGCCGCCACCCCTTTTTCCCTAGGGTATAGAAAGTAACTATTCTGAAATATTACCAAAGTCTATCAGACAATATCTCGGTCCAATAATATAAGTCTAATATTATCAAAATATGCTAAAAACAAAGTTTGCTGCATACAGAATGTGTGCCTCAATCCACACTGCGCAACTGATACTTATGCAGATCTGATATTTTATTTAGGTACACGTATTACCTTACTTAGTTGAATATGTCTAGGGGACTTTACTTGATACACAAAAGGCTTTATTTCAACAGTTTCTTCTTAAAAAAAATTAAAATTTTAAATTCTTTTAATACTTTTCTTGTATTAAAGGTAGATTCAATTAATGTCATTTAGATGCTGTTGTACTTTGACAGCGTTCTTAAGGAGTATGTACACTTTATGCTTTTTATTTAAGAACCTAATTATAATAAATATTAGCTTCTTAATTTGCTTTTGAACGAGTCCAGTATAAATACTGAAACATGACCACATACTACATTTCAATCATTTGAGATACAATACTTCCTTCTTTTTATATAATATACACCATCAAACGCTGTGCGAAGGGTGGAGGTGGCGGGGTTTAATGCCGCCATAACCTTGGATGTGATATCCTTCTACTGCAAAAGGTTTATTGAGCACACAAGCCTAAAAACGTATGCAGTTTCAATACGTCAAAACGTATAAACGTCAAAAGACCGGTTTCGTATGCTGTATTGTTTTGTAAAGTGTTGGTATGTTTAGTGTTAAACATACAGTCAAAACAGATATATCTGAAAAAGTTTACCCTAATGAAAATAGAGACGTTCAACTTTAAATACAACCTAGTATACTTTTTCTCCTGAAAAATTTTGTTCAAATATTTTTATCAACGTAAAGTGATAAATTTTCAAATATTTATACTTTTCATTAATTTAAAGTCGGTTAATGTAAAATAATTCTCTTGATGAAAAATGTCTTTGAAACTCATTCTTAATAGAGCTCAACTGCCAGTTTAAGAATGCAGAGATAAATATTAAAGAGTTTATCTCTATTCCGCAGTCTTCAATTGTGATAATAAGCAATTGTAGTGAAGATTAGGTGCTAATAATATCCAATTTGAGTCTGAATTGTAGCAATAACTAAGGAATATTTTCAATTATGATTGCAATCATAAAATAGGATTGCTTATATTCACGGTCATAATTGTAATCGTAAAATAAGATTACTTGCAAGAATTTCAATTGTTTGAGTCTGTTCAGTTATGTTTTGTGTGACTTCGGTTGTAAAAAAATTTCGTGGTGTGATGCTTTTAAAAAGTATGAAAAATCATGTTTAAGGAAGTTCTGTAAACTTCGAATTTTGGAAATAATTTTCGAATAAACAACTTTAATCTAATAAACAAGTGTAAACACTAGATATGTAACTTTTCGAATTTATTAACTGTGACGAGCTCAAAACAAGAGTTGGAGTTTTAAAATTTTTGAGAGTTTCTTAATGTTGAAATTAAGCTTTAAAGTCTTATAAACCAAAGTAATCTACTTATATTAATTGAAATTATTGTTAGGTTTTTGTACATTACAGAAATTTTCAGTCTCGCTGAATTTCGTAGTTGCAACTACCACTTTCTGCTCGAAACATTTCATTTAATTTATGTGATGATGAAAAAAAAAGTCATTCTTTTACCTAATGCCGAGATAAAACTCTAAACTTATTTGCTGCGGCATGAAATCCATGTATGAAGTTTAGAAATAATAGGAATTTAAATAAGTGAATACAGATAGTTTAATCAATAACATCACTTTACATTTTAAAACATAAAATTCTTCGGCAAAATTTAAAAAAAAAAGTCTTTCAGTTTAATTGCGATGCTTTCTCGATAACTTTTTAAGCACTCTTATAATATTGGCCTCTATTCTTCTCCGTTTTTCGAGAACATCATCCTGTTCACCAGCTTCAAAGTCCTCAGAGTCAGTCGAACTTTCCTGTTCTCTCACATCCTTCGACTTCCTGACCTTGTGATGGCGGTGCTGAGCCAGGAATGTCTTAAGATCCGAGGGCTCCGGATAAACAAAGACTTTAGCTTTAACCGGCAAATAGTCCCACAACTCAGTGATATTGGTTTTGTTGACCATATCCGAAAAGTGCAGGTCAGCTTCGAAAAGCTCTACGATATCCGCTCTATTCGTAACTATGGCTGTTGTCCCAGAATCGTTCTGAAGAGGTTTCATCATTGGATCTGGTATTGGAGTGACATTTTGAGCATGAGCATCATCGAACTCTTGGAAGGCAGTGTTCACGTCAAAATATGCGTGAGAGAGGGAGCAGTTTGTGTTGTTGAAATTATCACAAGACAGAACTTGTTGGTTAAACAAAGATCCTACAGGACACAAGAAACTTTCTCTTCGCCCAGGCCAACACACATGAAACACCTAATAAAAAAATAAAATTATGCTCTGTGTTAATAGAATAGCCATATCAAGGTTTCCCCTTCTCAGTTATCATAGTTTCAGCAAATCTTGCTGAAAGCAAAGCATGTAGCTAAGCATTTTCCTTGCGGCAGTAAGTTTCAGTCAGAAGTTTGAATATATTGACTTGAGAGAAAAATCAAGATTTTCCTAAACCCGGGGTAAAAAGAGGGTTAGTATTAAACGAGGAAGTCTATAATTTTTCTATGTGAAGAACTCCCCCAGCCATTCGTCTGGAGTAGTGTCGGTGACTATTGTTGCGGTGTTTAACTATTTCAACTATGGCTGGTTGGTCATAAATTAAAACAGGTTTTGGCTCCGGTAAGAGAGAAAGGGAATCAAGGGAGAAAGAGGTCCTCTCTTTGAAATGCGCTACTTCTTGCTTCCAATGCAGCTGACTGCCTTAGACTTCCAGGAGAGGGGAGTTCTTTTTGTAGACAAACTATAGTAACCTTGTCACGTACATTCCACTCACAAACAGTATAGTTTACTATACTCCTTGTAATTAAAATAGGCTTCTTATTGGAAACGATGTGACAGGCAGTAATGCTATTTTTTATTCACAGACTGTTAAGGAACATAATATATTGTTTATTATTGTAATGTACTGGAGTGGGAAAAAAGCAAGATTTAGGGATACCATTGTTACGGAGAGAGAAAAAGTTATGAAAATAGAGTAACTGAAATGCCTATTCTATTTACAAAGACAATAAGGTTATATTTGTATTCATTAAAACATGCATATTTGGTTTCGTTCATTTAATAACAGAATCTAGCTTTGTTTTTGAAATTTTTTTTGTGAGTTTGAAGACTCCGAAAGATCAAGTATACAGTAATGTACAAATATGAAAGATAAATACGTTCATGTGTTTTAACGTTTGAATTTGCGAATGGTCATTCTTAAAATTTTTTGAAAAAACCCTCAGTGCAAAATTTCGTATTCTCTCGAATTAGAACAGTTAGGACTTAACCATCGGCTTCATACACAATATGATGCATGCACAAATTTTGTTTAATGTATCAGCTTTCTTGGTTGTATGCAGTCGTCAAATCGCCAAATTTTTTATAACAATATACTTTTAATCTGAAATTGAATTTTAAGAAAATGATAATTAAGCAAAATTATTTCTGTTTACAATTAAATCTTAAAGGAAATAGTATACGAGTTTCATACTATTTTTCAATCAAATTTGATCCAAAATTAACATTTAATTTAGAGAAATTAATGCTAGACGTGGGAATTGCGAGAACAAGTTTAAGAAAACAAAATTCTTGATAGTACTTATATTTCAATGGAGTAATTTCTACTTGTTTATGTTATGAAACAATTGCTGCGAAGCAATCATTGGGGTTGGTGAGTGGCAGCTAACAAAGTCCTTATCCCTCTATTTAAATGGAAAAAACAATTAAGATCTTACCTGGCAATCAGTCTCTTGATCTGCATAGAAACCTGGTATTGGCTTGTTTTCGCATGTAAAGGATGTATCTGGTATATCTCTATAATATCGCAGGAACATTTTTTGTGGTGTAGGAGCTTGGTAAAATATAGGATCTTCAAGAGAAATGCCACGTGGATTAATTCTTTTTTTCTCCACAGATTTTGAACTAGATGTTTCGTCATCGATTTCATCATTTGAGGAGAAATAAATATCTGATAATGGGTTAAGGTCTTCATTAAACGTGCTTATAACGTGATACTTTAGTTCGGGTTTTAGAGTTAATGATTTATCTAATATTTGAACCTCCTCGAAAGTCAACACTCTTCGAGATTTGCGCGATGGAGGCATTGAATCAGATTTAGTTTCTGTTGTTGCTTCAGATTCGCTTGAATCTGTTGCAGCGTCTGTTGTTGAAGTCTGATATTTTGCTTCTTTTTCAAAATGAGCTTTTGACTCATCTGGGTCAAAGCTAGGTTTATTTGAGATATGAGAAATGGAGGTTGACATTAGGTGCATTATGAATTCATCATCAAGTGCTGTAAAACTAACAGCACCATCAGCTTGTTCTGAAAGGGAAACCTCATGAAGATTAGATGAAACTGTTGAAGGTTCTGGCATTTCTGAGAAAGCCTTAATGTACTCAGTGGCAATTTCATCCACTACTGAAGCTGATGTGGCAGTTTCCTTTTCAGATGCGAATTCCGACTCTGATGCCGTTACGAAATCAACTGTGGGAAGACTCTGCAATTCCGGAATAGATGGTGAGCTCTCTTTGCATGCCGCACTACGACTATTTACTTCTACGTCACAGTCGGTATCAGTAGAGTCCTGTTTGGGAAGATCAGGTTTACCTTTTGAAATATTTGACGAAAATTCCACTGATTCTTTGTTTTTAGATCTATAAGAATTCAAATGTTCCATAAGTTTTGGATCCAAGGAATCTTTTGATTCCGTAAAATGACTTGTTAATAACCGTTCTCCAAAAAGTCTATTTAAAGCATAGTCTAATTTTTCTAACGATGTTAATACATGAGTTATTTGCCCATTAAAATACTCCCGCATTTCAGGAGAAAGCGGCATTTCTTGAGGTATACCAGATCCACCATCTTTGGGAATTACGTAACCGGGAGGAGCTTTAAGTATATCCGCTGTTATTAATAGATCTCTGTGATAAGTTCCTTCCGTACTCAAAGCCTTGTGTAGCAAGCTTTTGAAAGCTTCGATTGATTCAGGACGAACAGGCGGCAACTCAGAGTTTCGTAGATTATCTTTACCAAACATGTCGACTGCATCTATAAGGCAGAAGTTAACATTAGCAATTTGTAAATATGATCTCTCAGAAGTAATGTTAATGGTAATGTGGCAAAGTTCAACTGTTGAAGGCTTAACACAATCTAGCTACAAAGAGCAGATTCAGCTGAAATTGATGATTTGATGCCTCTCCATTAACTCTGCTATTTCACAGTACAAAGTTGAAACATTTAATACAGAATTAAATTATGGTAGCAAGGATAATGAATCTTAAAATGCAAATTGAAACCACATGAAAAGTTACATCACGTAAAAAGTTTTTTCAGTGGCACTAACTAGATGCAGCTCAAATGCGTCAAACAAGAAACAATAAAATTATGTAAAAGCTGACATAAGTTTAGATAATTTTCATATTGAAACCCAAATGTAATAAACCTGCAAGAGAGAAAAAAATAAAAATTTAAAGGCGCTTCGTGGTCCTAGAGCTCCAATCTACTAGTCTATAAATTAAAGGATCGCTTCACTGTTTAGAATTTGATATTCACATACTTAAATAAAAGTTCATATTTTAGCTTTTTCTGAAAAGGTATAAATTTAACTTTTCCTTCTAGGTAAATAAAAATATTCATGAAATTAGACTTGTAAATTTGATTCAAGAAATTGGAAAAATTTTAAATTTAAAGACATGGGAAAGTTCTTTTAGTCAAAAGACCTAGAGAATAATTTATTCATTTTAGTGATAAAATGATAATTTTTCGAACAAAGATTACAAAGATACTGACATTATACACGTTAGATTTTTATTTCGTTTAAAAAACATGGTTTGACAATTTAAACGAAGTTTTTATTTAACTACAGATTCTGCAAAATTTTAGTTTAATAAAATTAAGTTATAAATGTATAAAAATTCTGCGCAATCACGATAAAGAAATCACTTTCCCATTTAGAAAGATTTAACAGTTATCAGTTAGAAGATCCTACTGTTCCCTGAATTTTTGTATCAAAATACTTCTCAAAAACCATTTTTAATAGCTTAAAAAACACAGCATTTACGACAAAAATTATTAGAATCAGCTCTCTATAAGACAAAATGTCTTACGACTTAGAATCATGAAGTTGTGGTCAGTTCTTAATTTAATGATGTCATCGTTTTTAAAGGTAAACACAGAAGTCAAAACAAGACACAGTGCTACTATATATTTAGAGTATATTTTAAGACTATTTTTTTCCACAGATCTTGGTTATCAAATAAACTTCAAAATTTCTTCTTACCTACAGCAAAGAAAGCCACCAATAACCAAATCACAGTACCCATCTATAATGAGAATATAAAATTATTATTGCACTCGAAGCATCACAAATATATCAGAATGTGGGTTAATAAGTTTAAAATTAAGTCAAAATTTATTTAAAAATACTTAAATTTCTTATAAATTGCTTAATAAGAAGCTTAACTCTAAAGAAGAAGAAAAAAAAGAATGAAAATATTTAATTTCACGAAATAGATGTTTAAACGACAAGAAAGCTTAATTCAATTAAGGGAACTATAAGAATCTTCAGTTTCAGGAAATAAATAAAAGGTAGTTACTGATGATAAAGTTGAAATTCAAATGAAGACCAAATAAGAATTACGCTACAAAACTAGAACTTTTATCCTTACCATGATCCAACAAACCTTGGTAAGCAAAGACCGCAACAGAGTTGAATCGTTTTATTTTCGATGTTGAAGTTGTAGTAGCATCTTATTCTTCACACTTTTATCCTTTCGAAAGCGTTGAGTTTGAAGCGTATCCTTTTGAAAGCTTGGTTTTGAAAGCGTTGGATATAAAGAGGATGTAAGGTTGTAGGTTAGAGGAGGATGCATGGACAGAAGGTGTGCTTGTCATCACATGAGTGGAATTTCGCCGATTCATTCATTTATTTTCAATTTACTATTATTATTATTTTTGCACGCTAATTGCTATATTAAATATGGTCCTTCTCGATTAAAGAATATCGTGCTTCCACCAAGGCTGTTGGAGTGGAGGTTGCGGGTTAAAATCCTGCCATAGTTAGAGCTGTTTTTCCCTTATTTGTGACATTTGTCTGTCTCTCCACACGACAGGAGTTTCTGTATCGTTCCTTCTACTGAGCACACAAGATATGTATTTACATGTATATATACACACAAGTATGAGAATGATTATATAATGAGAATGGGTCTGGGTGGTCGAGAGATTAACGTCTTGAGCTGCAAGAACGAAGTTCTTCGATTCCTGCCTCGAAATCAACGAAGAATAAATGAAGCGAGCAAGCAGTTAATTTTCTCAAAAATTTAAATTTAACTTTTAAGGAGTGGGGATGTCTTATTTCATTAAGCGCTCATGTAATTATTTTGCAAGTGGAATGGTTTTCCAATAACTTCGAAGAACGAACGCCTCATGTGGTCTGATCTTAAGACAAGGTTCAGAGTAGATCCCCGAAGTGAAACATCATTGTCACCGGTCAGTGAGCTTTTGGGTGATCACTTTGATCAGCCTGCGAAGGGACCAATCGCGTGTGGTATCGAAGGCCATTCACAATGCATGCAAAAAAAAACGCAAAAAAGTCGGGAGCGAATTCGGAAATAAAAGCGAGGACTTGATTAGTCAAATTGAACTTGATTAGTTAAATTACCTGCTAAAAATTAGCCAATCACGTTCTCATTTGCATCTCCGGATTCACATATACGATATTTTTCGCCTGCAGCATAAATGGCCCTTATGAATGTCCTACCGTAGAGTGCTCGACTTCACGTGCTACCAAAGCGGGGAAGCCATCTTTACTGTAGAAAATCAAAATTGAGATGGCATGTTGTTGTTGTTGTAGTTAATTTACGTCGCACTAGAGCTGCACAATGGGCTACTGGCGACTGTCTGGGAAGCATCCCTGAGGATGATCCGAAGACATGTCATCCTAGACCGTCAGAGACCAATAGCGCATTGTGCAGCTCTAGTGCGGTGAAAATAAAGTACTAGAACTAACCTGTCTCATTCCAAGCCATTAATCTGATGGTCACTCGAGCCTACGAGGTGATGTCTACTAAGGGAAAAGATCCTGGTTACGAGAACAGCTTGAAGCCTCAACAATTCTTATTTCAATGAAGAACTTTTAAGCTATTTAATTGTAAGGCCACGAGTTTGGAACCTAGGTCACTCTGGTGGATCACAAAGTGCGTCAAATATTGTACATATCTCACATAACTTATCAGAGAAATACCTTAAAAGTAATTGCTAGGTGATATGTGTGTGCGAACACATAGAATAAAGGAATAGGCATGCAAACTTGCTATACAGGGTATAATGTCAAACTCCTGTTTAAAATAAAGAAAAAATGTATTTTCAAATTAATATATATTTTTATTGCACATTTTTATAATCTATTTTATATACATTTTAGCTTTTTTCTATGCATTTGACTTAGATATTTATGGAAACGTTACTTCGAGTACTGCATACTATAACACTAACGTTACAATAATGTTTAGCATTAGTAATCTCTACAAATTTCTGTAAAATCTACAGCTGAAAATAATTTTTAATGAATGATTATTTTTTGAAATGTGTAATACATCTGATATAGAATAATAATAAGCGTAGTCTTTTTTATTAGTAATAGTAGTAGTTAATTTACGTCGCACTAGAGCTGCACTATAGGCTATTGGCGACGGTCTGGGAAACATCCCTGAGGATGATCCGAAGACAGGCCATCACAATTTTTATCCTCTGCAGAGGAGATGGCACCCCTGCTTCGTAGTCTTTTTTTAAGATATCAGCTTGTTTCCTTTTTATCTCTCAAAGAAAATGTTCGATTTTGACAACGAAAAAAGCAAGGATATTAAAAATTCCATTTCTTTAGAGACGGAATTTCTAATATATTTGCTTTTTTTTTACTTCCATTTGGCGGCATAATTTTTTTTATTAAACATTTTTAGAACACATTTCAAGCACATTTTAACTTCTTTTATGTATTTAACTCAGATGTTTATGGAAACTTTGTTTTAATATATAATACTTCACTTACTGCATACTTATATACCAACGTTATTATAACGTTTAACATTAGTAATCAGATCACTCTTCAAACTTCTACAGCTGTAAATCATTTTTCATAAATGTCTTACTTGATTATTTTTTAAGATGTACAACAGTACATCTTATGTGAAATAATAAGAAACCGTAGTATTTAAGATAGGAGCATTGCAAGCCTGTTTCCTTTTATCTCTCTGAAGTATGTTCGATTTTGGCAACGAAAAAAAGCAAGGTTATTAGAAAATTCGTCTCCTCGGAGACTGCGAGAAACAATAGGGAAAACATAATCTATTTCTCATGTTTTTTTTATGACCTCAGTGACAGCAATAGTCATTTATTCAGAAGTAAAACCGAGTTAAATGACAATAACAGAAATCACTGAAAAACAGATTTGATAAATTGACTTATGTTATGGCAATCGTTTAGATTACCTTTTCTGGACATTTTTTGATATTGAATAAAAATAATACCCTCTAATCGTACTGATGTTACAATTAGATTATATTAAAATAAAAGCAATCTCGCATTAACTAATAGTTTTTTTCCTTACTAACACATTTCATGCACTGAATATGTTCAAGATTTTACAATGTGTTTTTTTTGACGAGCCAATATGCATAAAAAACAAGATTAAACGCATTCAGAATCATTGTGGTATAAAACTTAAAAGTGATTTTAACCCTTTGTGGCAGCCATCTGCTTTTGATCGACAATATCATTGAAATACGACCACAATTGGCTAATTATCGCCTTTCATGTTACTCTAACAATCAAACAGGTTTCGATTGTTCAATTTATCTCACCTTCCTTGATAAGAATTCGTCAATTTTAAATGAAGTGTTGGCTCAAATATTAATTGGTGACCAAAACCATTATCTGTCAATTAATTCGAGTATGCTTTATAATAGTATGATTTATATTATATGATTTTTAATAATGCGGGATGTTCTGAAAATAATGGACCACCAAGCTTAAATATTTTTTTTAAATTTACGATGAAATAATTGAATTTCGCATTTAAAAAAAATAATCAAAAAATAAGATTGATAAAAAAACTAGAGCGGAAAATTTGTTAATGGCATACTTGGTATAATATTTTCGAATGAAATCGGAGTAATCGAACAGACCAGATAATCGGAGTTTCGAAGTAAATCGAATGAAATCGGAATCAAGTATAAAAAAACATGTAGTATAAAAAACACGGTTTAAAAAACTCCGCTAATAGTTAGGGAAGATTTTTCTTATCCAGAGTTGATAAAACAGCCTTTATTTTTTTATTTTATACGAGTTAAAACTGATAGTTTGAGGAAAACGTTGTTGAATATGTTTAATATATAAAGTGTGATACAGAATAGAAGCGATACTTTATACTTGTGGAAAACTAGTATATATACTTGTAGAATACTATAAAGTGTGATACTTATGGAGTAAGTATAATGTACTCCATCATGTAGAATACTAGCATTTTTAGGTACAATGGAGAAAGGGATAGACGTGCTGGTGTTGTCGAAGCATTATTGTAAAAATTTAGGAACAAATTCAATGAATTCCTGTAAAAATGCAGCAAAAAAAGAACTTTTTTGCTCGGGCTTTTATATTTTATTTAATAACCGTCGTTGAACACCCGACCCAATTTTTTTTGTGTTTACGACAACTAATGTTCAATTCCGTTGCCTTGTAATTTTAAGCCCAATCCAGAAGACAAGGGAACTTCTGGATCAGGTATTGGGAGAAATTTGCTTTCGTGGTGGACTTTTTGATGGAGCTAACCTGCGTTTGCTTTATATGGAGAGAAAAATCCCGCAAACCTTCCAGGCGACAAAGGGACTCTAACCCATGATCCGTCTACCACTAAGGATATTTTACGTCTGCACTGTGGTTGGTACAAGCCGGATGCGGAATTCGCATCGGCCAGTCATCGCTGTGATTCGAACTCGGTTTACCCCATTGGAAGGCGAACGCTCCATCCCCTAAGCTATAACGGCTCCGCGCTTTTATGTTCTTTATAAAAGCTTCTCTGTTCTTTATCTACATCCATTTCCGAGCGATCTTTATTCTCCGGAATAACTACTCGGGACCTAGCCTCGCACAAGTTTGGAACAGTCGACATGGAAAAAACAAAGACACTAGAGTTCTCATAAATTTTTTCTCTTGGGTCAACAAACTGATATATTACAAATATCCCAAACGATATATTAAAAATATTTAGATAGTTATTGGAAGAATAATATATCGCGGTAAAAATTGCCAACATTATGAGAGGATTACTTACTCTTCCTATAGCAACAGCTAACCCTGCTGTAATTCTTTTGAAAAAACATTTTCAGCATTTGAAACTTAATGGTTTACACTCATTTTATCTGACACTCATGGTTTCTTCAATACTTAAAATTTTAAATTAGAAAAATTAAGAGAATTTGGAAAGAAACCCCAGAAGGGTTTCTGTTTGTTGTTGTTACTTATGCTACTTGCCATGACCAGAAAACCAGCTGGAAATCTAGCTGGAATAATGACTTCTGTCTATGACTTCAAGTAGGGTTGAAGTAGTTCACATTTCATGGTCTTAAATAACTTTATTAGAAGAATTTAATAAAATTTATTACATGTGAATTGAGAAAAAAAATTAAATCATAGGAAAAACAATGAGTAAAATTTGGCTTAAAAAATAAAAAACTTGCATTTTTGGAAAACATTCAAGGTCTTGGAAATGTTCGAGAAATACTTTTTTGAAGAAAAACGTAATGAATTTCTTATAGCCTGTACTGGGCTGTTACGTTGTGAAAATTTCGCAGTCTTGTAAAGCACTGTAAAGTAAAAACGATGGTAGCAAAGAGTTTGACTAAAAATGTCACTTTGGGGAAACATTTTACTATATAGAATGTTATGTTGAAGTACAAGAAATTTTGGTATCTTGGTATCTTTTATCTCGGAAGTAGGAAAAAAAAAACCTTTTACTTACAAACAAAAATTATTGAAAACCACATTGAATATATATTTTCGCTTTAAAATTTGCAGCAATAATAAAAACTATCTCAGTTTAACAAATAAAAAAAGGCATTTATTACATATGTTCCTTTTTCAATTAAAATAAAAACTATCTTAGTTTAACGGATAAAAAAAAAGCGCAATCTAATATATTTGTTTCTCTTATAACTTTATCATACGAACAACCATCTGAAACTAACCTTAAAATTTTAATTTTTTTTCCTAAACTCACATAACAGAGAAAGTTTAATTTGATAATTAAATTCTATAAATTTATTCTGATTGTATCATTATAAATTCTGAATTATAATTGCTTAGAATCGCATTAAATAAACAGAGAAAGTTATTGAAACTGTTTTTAATGATTTTTTTCAAATGAGTGCTGCATTTAATACAAAACATGTGTGACTTTTTAATTCTTCTAATCTTTCCTAATTTCGAAATGATCATCTAGAAGATATGAAGAAGGCTTGAGTTCCTTCCGTGTATCACTCTTTGGATAAACCGGCTGAATGATGAACCTTGGATTTAGCGTTGGCAACGACTTGGGTATTACAGGTTTTTTGGAACCAACTGTAGACGCAGGTACTGCTGGTCTTGGTCTGTTGGAACCAACTGTAGATGCGGGTACTGCTGGTCTTGGTCTGTTGGAATCGTCTGTAGATGCAGGTACTGTTGGTCTTTTGGGACCGACTGTAGATGCAGCTACTTTTGGAGAACGTGTTGAAGGTCGTCTTGGTGGAAATAAGGATCCGCTTTCTTCCAGAACTTGTCTGACAATCTCAAATGCATCTCGTATAATTTTGTTCACATTAGGGTCAATTCCATTCTGCCTAGAGCTTACCCTTATCTTCTGGTGAAATCCAGGAGCGGTGGGTCTGCGCTTCTTACCCCTGCTTCTATGGCCAATCGAAGCAACGGCTTCCACTTTGGCTCTTTTATCACCAGCTGCTGGATAAATGGTTACTTTCGCTTTAATTGGTAAAAATCTTGAGAAAAATTTCAAGTCGGTAGTTGGTATTGGCTTGTCGTTGGAAACAGCTGAAGATGAATTTTTAGAAGCGATGGAAGAATCTACGTATGCGGGAGTGGACGAGGCTGAAACCTGTTCAACAGGTACTTCAGACACAGATTTAGAAGTAGAATTTTCTTGCAAAACAGTTTTTCTTATTGGGAAGACTTCGTTTTCTGTTTGAATGTAATAATTGGTTAAAGAGCAATTGCTTCGGTGCCAAAAATCGCACGTCAAAACAGCTTGATTAAAAACTGTTCCGACGGGACACAAAAAGCTCTCTCTTCTATCCTGATAGCATACATGAAACACCTGCAAGAAATTAGTGACAATTTACTAATGCATAACGGATTGAATTAATACTAGACACATACACATAATATTTTGCAGAAAAATAAAAGCGATAATTTGCACTCATTCTTTCATTTGTTTGACTTCTTCTACAAATGTATAAACACAAAAGAACACACATTTGCATGTTTGACAAAATGCGTCCCTATATTTCTACGGTTATTTTTAAGCAGTTTGAACTAATTTCGTAAACTTTGAATTAAAAACTGGTAATAAAATTTATTTTTTCGCATAAATGAATGTGGAATAGCTTTGTTAAAAGAAAGCACATTCAAGACTTGGTGCAGTATGAATTATAATTAAATATTTACCCTCGGGTAGAGAAATGAAATTTTGTGTTCCATACACTCCCAAAAAACTTGTTTAGCGTTGAACCTTAATATTATACCGTATATCGAATGATAATAAGGTGGTAATTGATTGCATCTAATGTGAGTTGTTAATTTGGAACATGTATCCGTTTGAGTTGAGCCATAGCATCGCGTAATTAAGTTTAAAATACGCGATTATATGATTCAATTCACCTAAGAAACCATTATAAAATTCCTAAAACAGGAATTTTTAAAATAAAAAAAAGAAGCGTATCCTAAAATTTTTTGTAATTAAAAATTTAAATGCGGATAACTATTTATGAAAATTAAATTCAATTTTTCTACGAAAATTTCTTTATTAAAACTGGTGAAAAATATAAAATATAAGTTAATTTACTTGCAATTGTGATTAAGAAATAAAATTAGTTTGTCACATCATGTTTTGCACACTATTAATTATGTACGTGGAAATTTCCTTTTAAGCAGTTGCCATACAATTCTCGCGTCCTTGAAAATTTGCAAAAAGATGGTATTCTGTGGAAAAGCTTAAATTTTTCTGTCGTGGGCGAATTTCTTGTCATGAGTTGCTAAGCAATTCTCAGTGTCCTTAAGAATTTGCAAAAGATTTGTGGAAAGACTGACATTTTTGTACCATTTGGCGTACAAGGTACCATTTTCCTGTCATGGGTACTGCGCAATGCTCACCTCTCCTCCAATTTTTCATGTGGAGTTATATTTTATTTCATAACCGCAGTTAAACAGCCGACCCAATTTTTGGTTAACGACCACCAATGTTCAGCACCGTAACCTCGCAATTTTGAACCCAGTCCAGAAGACAAGGGAACTCCAGATTCCGAGAGAAATTTTGCCTTCAATTTATT